AGAGACATTGTTGTAACATTAAGTATGACTGTAAAAGTACAAGTGATGAAGACTTTGATATGTGCAAAACATCTTATGAGAATTTTTCAAAAATTTTTATACTCATAATGATAACTTTAATATCAGTCATTCCAACAATATTGGGTAAAAATCAGTGCTGTGGTAAAAATGTCCCAAATCTGTTTTGTTATGAGTCACCCTAGATGTTTCAAATCAGCTGGAGGTGAAAGAGCACAAACAGAGCTTTTCATCAATATGCTACATAGTCCATATAGCTCTTATGGTTCAAGAGTGGCTGAGCTTTGAAAATCAAAAATTTTCAGAGTTCTGATACAAAATTGAAAATATTTTTTTCTATCTTTCCAATGTAGGGGCAAGCTTGGATTCAAGTTTGAAAGCAATCCGACAATTTTGAAAATTTACCCTCAATGAGGCACTGGACTTGGAAAAATTTCAACTGAAAAAAGTTGATAAATTTTCAAAAATATTTCAAGTCCAAACTGCAGGTTAAAATCAACCCTCAACTTAGATTCAGTGGGTTTTGAGAATAGAAAACAGAAACAGTCTTTTAAAATTTCTTAAACAATTATATAGAAGATAATAATAGTTTTTTCCCTGTATATGCTTTTAATTTTAGATATAGATTTCTTTTCTTCTAATTTCTATACTTTTTCTTTTTTAAATAAAATATTTTTTTAAAAAATTATTAATACTTTTATTTCAATTAACTTTACAGTTTCAATTGATTGTAATTTAATTTAGTCTCATTCTGTCATTAATTTCACTTCAAATTTCATCACAATCGGCTAAGTAGTTGCTGAGATATGGATTGTTATGAATGTTATATTTAAACTCTGTAGCATACCTTAAAATATTTGTCACAAAAAAACTAAATTTCTTATTAATAATCATAGAGCTTTCAAATTTTGTACACAAACTAATATCGATATACTCATTCCAAATCTTTTTACAGAATTCAATTATCTGTTAGAGTTCCAGAGTTATGGAGCCATCAAAATTTACATGGTCTTTCTTACATAAAAGCCTATATTAATATATTTGTCAGGGTAGAACCAACTCTGTTATTAATTAAGATAGATCTTTGAAATTCAGTACATAGACTAATACTATAATGCTGTTATTAAATACTTTTACAGAATTCAATTATTTCATCTCAAATTTTAAACTGATTTTTATACATATGCCTATATATCTGTCACTCTTATGAATATGGTGTACAGTCCTACAGAATTTTTATTACTACATATTCTTATCTCTTTTTAACATGTTTGTAGAACTTTCTCACACACATTTTTAGTTTGATTATCTGTGCTTTTAAAGTTTACTAATTTCATGTTCCCACATTGGCATTATATAATATTATCTATAGCTGATAAGTTTGTGTTTGTTAATTAAGTAGGGAAAAAAGATAGCGGAGAAGTAGTAAGAAACAGTTTTGGTTCCAGTCTCACAGCAACAAAACTTGAATAATTTCTGCAAGAAACTTTCTTGAATTTTGCAGTTTCTTTATGCTTGAATTCAGTTTGTCTTAAATCAAGTGTCTAAAAGCATATGTAAAAAAAAAACAATTCCTATTCTCCATACAATAATACGATTTTATAGGAAAAGTACCAGTCTATTAGCTGTTTGTTCGTTTGTTTATATTTATGAATTTTGATGAAAATTACGATTGCATACGTAAATTTACTAATTTACCACAAATGGCTTTTTCGTAGTAGTCAATAGTATCATTAAATTTTATCGTCAATGTTGTAAAATTTGTATTCAGTGTAAACATTTCACAGTGTTTTGAATAACAATAGTTAAACTATCTAAATAGAATAAGAATTGGTACAAGGTGTTTTTGCCTGAATACGCTTCCTCTTACTTATGTACAAGAAATTTTCTTGGAACATTCACTTTGAATGAATGTCAAAGTGACAGAACTTTTGAACAGATTGCTGATATTTATCATTTAACCTTCGAGTATCATCATCTTTTCTGCAATTGAAAGATAGTCATGCAAGATTTTGTTTTCTACATGAAAAATTAATTTATTCAAAGACTCCTACTCCCAAAATAGATTAATACTCTCTACCTGCAATCGCCACAGATTTCACTATTAAAATACAAAATGACCAAATTGTATATTAGGAGTGGAGGAAAGAAAATGAGATGAGGGAATAATTGCTAAATGCAATGTATATTAAAAGATGACCTCTATAAGAGGACAAGTTATAAAATTGAAGTTGAGATCAATAGAGCGTATATTAAAAGGGTAAATCAGTTTGTTATGTGAGCGGTGAATGAGGAAGTAGAAATATTTACGTAACCTTTGCTAGTTGACAGATTCCGCTCAACAGTATTGTCAACCGTAATTATTCCATCGATGTTTTGTAAGCTATTCAAGCATTCATTCATTCATTCGTCTATTCGAAGAATATATCGGAATATTGAAGAATGTATTATTATTATTTTGAAACAATAGACAAAAAAGAGGTAATTAACTAGAGGAATTATTGAATTATCTTGTATTTTACCACTTTTCTTTTTTTCTTTCTTTTTCAAACAATGGCAAAAGCTTTGAATGGATAAAAAACAATTTGTATACTTTACTATTAGATTAGAATTCATTTCTATCATTGTGTCTAGTTTCTCTTTTGTGTAATCTTTCTTTAATGATTAAATTAATTAATTATTCTAATTTTACTCTTTTATTTTTCAATTAGAGAGAAAAGTGAACTTCCTAAGATTCTCGTGCTTTTATCCCATTTTTGTTTCTGCACCAACGGCGAACAAACAAACAGAAATACTTCAACGCACAAATCCCCCCCCCCTCGTCAACTCGTCAGTAGCAGTACTGCTAACAGCGGAAAGACAGAATAATCCACTATTTTCGCTCCACTGATATCTTTTTTCCAATATGGAATATACGGGCTTCGTTGTTTCGGTTTATCCGTATTGCATTTTGTCGATTTGCACAGGCATAAATCTTTAGTCATCCCAGGGTAAGGTGTAGCGCAACCAGTCCTAAACGCTAATGAATTGTAGCAGTATCGTTGATAGTACTCGTCTGCATTTGACAAAAGCAATCGTTAACGTATTTATTTGTTTGAACTATTTGAAAATCTATAAGTAATAAGGCGAACCTTTCGACTTGTAATTTTTTACTATTATTGCGCAGGAAAAGTTTGTTTTGCAAATAAATTGATCAATACTTCCGGATGGTGCGAGAAATTTCTTGCCACACCAAGATTCTCTTCTCGAGTCGCATTGCCAGCAGGAAACAGCTAAAAAGCAGTAGTAGTAGTTGTAGTAGTAGAAGAAGAGGCTAACTATAAAAAGGATTTTTAATACACGAAACCTAACTTACCGGATAGTTTGTCAATGAAATTAGGAATAGCATGTCTATTACATTCGTCGTTTGTGGAACAAGTACAAGTTGTCGTCAATGTACCGTATTCTCTATCAATTTTGCAATTATTCTCAATCGTTTCGTAGGGTGGTGCGCACATTTTAGTAACCCTTTCCATCCCTTCAACAACTGTAGGGAAATTCTATGCTTATATAGAAAGATAGTAATATTGTACGCAATAGCCTAGATTGTTTATCTAATCTTAATAATACACTGAAAATATCTAAGTAAAAATCATAGGCTAAATACGGAATGAAATAGTGAAAACACAACTTTTAGATTGATAAGAGCAGGTATAGTTGGGTAAACATTCTTCAATTTCGTACTTTTCATTTAGGCAATCGAAGCATTTTTGACAGCGTAGACCGTGTGCAAATGCCTAACAAAAAAAAAGAGAGAAAAAAAAGACTATTAAAAGAGATTAACAGTATATTAAAATGTCTACCATCTGACAAACAACTACAACAATTGCAGTTGTCCATCTGTAAAATGTTCTCATTCTTCTATCAGTCGACAACGGCAAAACACAACAAAAACAGAAAAGCAACGCTCTAAAGTTGAATTTCAATGGTACGAAATCAAAAATTTCGCCTTTTCCTATACTCTTTTGTTCTGTTTCATCAACGAGACGTAATTAAAGGCGGGAAATCTCCTCCTCTTCCTATAAGATAATAGCCGAAATTAACTTTTCAATCCAAAAATATGGCGGAAAAAGAAAAATTAACAGGATTGAAAGATAAAGAAAAAAAAATTCAATAGAAGGTCAATTAAGTTGCTAAGCTACGGCTTGTGTTTGTTGTAACAGAAACTTGTCTAAAGCAAACTTGATTATTGCAAACCAATTATTATATGTTCAACTGTCTAGAAGGGATACGCTTTTAAGCAATACATGAATATTTAAGGATAAAATTGCCAAGGAAACGCAATCAAGTTCAAGTTTTCAGATTAACCAACCAACTTTAATTTTTAATTTATCCAACCCTGACCCTTAACCTTTAAAGGTCATTCCCCCAAAAAAGGCCGGTACGAAGCTGAACCAAAACAATCATTCTCCTTGTATGCTTTGTTTATATTATATTTTTACTTTTCAATGTTATTCCCATTAAGAAAGGTTTAATAATCGCTTAAGTAGTGATTGGATTTTTTCTAAAGGTAGAAAATGCGTCGAAGAGACGCTTAAATCACTCTGTTTTAAGTATACGAACAAGAAAGAAAGTAAGAAAGAAACACGCTGTTGAAGATTAGAGCGAATAAGAAAGAATTATGGGTAAACTGGTTTTTGGCGGGTACTGTGGGAACGGATACGACAGAAAACGTCCACAAATCAGTGCTTTTACCCTAACCCTAACCCAGCCCTTAGCTGTACCTAACCTTTTTCCTTTACCCCTAACCCTCAGAGGAGACCCTCCTAAGTACAAATCAGTTGCTGTTTTCTTCTGCCTAACCATTTCTCAATCAAAATTTTTGTCTTGAAATTTCTCATTTGTGGACGTTTTCTGTCGACCCCTGTAGGAATGGGTAGATGGGATTGTATTGCGTAAGCGGAAGCATGTCGTAAGGAATGAAAAACTAGGAGAAAACATAAAATGCCGGCCAGAAAATGTAATCAAAAGAATTGTCAATCCTGTAACGTTTTCGTCGAAGCTGAATATTGGTCGTCGTCCGATTTGAGGATTACCGTACCAATTAATAACGAATTAACTTGTAAATCTTGCGGTTTATTGCTGTTGGCCATCTGTAAAAAGTGCTCATTTCGAATTGTAAGTCGGTGTAAGGTTACTTTTGAGAATAGGATTAGTAATATTTTAAAGAGGACGGAGGAAAATGCATGTGGACCAATTTCCAAGCACATGTTTGCGTGCGAAGCGGAATGTATGACTTTTACGCCAATAGCCAAAGAACCTACCGCCGATATGTGTATAATTCAAAAAACGGTCAAGATACTGAATATGGTCGCCTCCTCCGAATGGAAAAAACTTGCGAAAAGCTTGAAACGGGATAGCCTACTAAGCATTAAAGCTCCCATTAAATTTACTTGCAAGCAAATACCGTTCACTTTTGAAATTGAAGGTTTGTGCGTTGATCTAATTGAAAATCTGTGGAGATTGAACACTACCGGCAATGATCCATTTATGTCGGTTCTTAGCGGAGAAAAATTGCTTTTTACGTCGATTGATATGAATGTATTTCTTAAAATGGAAACAGCCGAAGAAGAATTGCGAAAGAACAATGAACAGCTTAGAGAGCAGATTTCAAGTTTAAATCAACAATTGGAGGAGAAAAATAACGAATTGGAAATATTATTAAAGGATAATTTAAGGGATAAGAACGAGAATAAGCTTCAAGTCACGATGAAATTCTTTGAAAATAACGATAGTAACTGTAGCAAAAAGAGAAAGTTTAATGACGAGAATTCACTCAACAACAATTAGACAAACAATGCTATCAAACTATTATAAAACAAATTATCTTTCAGTTTGTCAACTGGACTTGTGTAAATGAAATGTTTAAAACTAATTGAAATTCTGTGAAAAAAGATGGGCAAGAAAGTTCAATAATAACTCTACTGTGTTGCCTAACTACGCTTAATGTTTGTTGTAATAGAAACTTGTCTAAAGCAAACTTGGTTAAACCAGGCTTTTCAATTCAATTTATATTGGTTGTACAAATTTATATTTACTGAATTAAAAGGCTGCTTTATACTTTTCAAAAATTACACTTTTATACAATATATATATATGTTGATTTTCGTAGGGAGGAAGGGGCGGGGATCCATCTTCTCCTTAAACTTTACGTAAAATTACAATCAAACATTACTCATTTATTAATTACAAGAAAACGACAAAAATGTAAAATATTCCTGCCCGAGTTGCCAATCTTCAAATTTCCCTTAAATCAGGCAAACTATCTTCAAAAAGACTGTTTCGTTGACGAGCAACAAAGCTCTTTTCGTTAGTAGAATTCGCTTGTTTAACAATCGTCGAAAGTTTGATCGATACAACATTCAAATTGTGAACTAGTATTTTCCTAATCAAATCTTGTGGAATGTTGAACCTAACCCTATTTATCTATCAAAGATTCTACTAATCTTGGTGAATATTTGGCAAATTTTCGTTTAAATTCTAAAATCAAAGAGCTTTGGCTAAGGGAAGAAAGACTGAAATGATGAGTTTTGTGGAATTGTCAACGTTTGCCGAGTGTTGGCTAACATCTGGAGAATATACCAATGAAATAGTGAATACTCTGATGAAATACTTTTGAAGTATTCTATACGTCTATTGTTCTTTGGTAAAGGCGTTCAAATGTTTGTAGACGCCATTGAATGTTTCATTCAGCATGGAATGTCTATGGCTGAATATATTTTCATCAAGTTGCATAATGTTTTGCTATACTCAATTGTAATTTTATTATCGTGTAACGTTGCTGTTTTATTAGGTAGGATGATTAGCCTATTGGGCGATATTAGCGTAAATGTATAGATTATAACGATAATACTCGATTGCCGTTAGGCAATTGTACACAGATAAACTACTGCTTAAATGGTGGCCAGTGCGTACAAGGAATATGCGTTTGCGAATTTCCAATGAACAATAGCATTTGCAATTTAGGTAGAGTTGATATTCAACTTGTTTTGTTTGTTGCCTTTCGAAAGAATACATAAAAAAGCATTTCAGGTTCAACGGTTCATTATACTGAAAAAGATTGTTTAAGGAATGATGTAGCGAACGCTGTCGTATCGAACGTTTACAAATGTTTTGAAATGATTCAAGAGAATTCAAACAGAGTCGCAGCTACAGTTGTTTTCAAAACTAACGGCGAATTAGTCTGCTTTGTAAAAAATAAATGCAACTATCCCTTAAGGATATTTAAGCCTATTGGACAGTTTAAGCAAATTGCTACAATCGTTCTAAAAAGTATAAACTTTTCGTTTCTTCCATTTTCTAGTACTCTGAGCATTTGCATCGTTGCATGCATTTAAACAGATTCCGAAAAGGGAATTTGCGGAATTGCAAACGCCGACACCTATCATATTAAACAATGTATTGAGTACCTTTGGAGAACGCATACGAAATGCTCATTAAACTCTCCGGGATTTAAGGAAAATCTTTCGAAATGGATGAGGAAAACAACAGTCACCGCTATTCAACAGCAGATGAAGGTCATAAGTTAAAATGCTGAACATTTTGAACAAGGAAAATCGTGGATAAATAATAGATTGTATAGAAATCTATGCTACGGAGTTTTATCGTCAGGAAAGTACAATATTGCCTTGAATAAGCGAGTCTTTCACCAATCGATAGCCTACGAGGAGAGCTACATTTATCATAAGAGTCATCTCGTTGACGGAGTGACAAGTTCAAATGTAAGTTTAGGTGGATGTGTAAAATTGCGCAGTACCTCTCTTTCAATATGGATAGCAGTGGATTTAGGTGAAAGGTACATTGTTAAAAGAGTAATAATCTATCTTCCAAATAGTCAAAGTTTGTTTATCCTTTACTCACTTCATTTACTGCAACTACAATTCATTGTTTGTATAAAACAGCCGAAGATCTGCAAATTCTTGATATTTACGGTAAAGAGAAGGAGATTGAAATTGATTCTACCATCTCATCGATTATCTATGAATACTGCGTTAAAAATTACACAATTACTTCGAATGGTGAACGGTTGATTATTGACTGTTATGATGAAATGTTACCTGGGCAATATATTGTTTTACGCTCTTCAACCGCAAACTGTAAGACAACCTGCGAACTAGAAATATATACAGGTACCACTGTATATTATCAATGAATACAAATAAATACGTTTCATACTTGTTTCCTACCGCTAATAATTCTAGATTGTCTGGCGCTGGGCGGGGATGGTTTCAGTTCGAGCGTTAGAGACTCGAACTCTTATCCAGGATACGGTTTGGACGAGAATAAACCTCCAACACATTTCACCTCAAAAGATGAACCTCTCGTATGGTTTACAGTTTATCTTCGCGGCAAATATCTAGTCTACGGTGTTGACCTGTTTAATGTTCAATTCTCCAGCCACCTACAAGTTTATATACAAAATACAAATGTAGCTATCAACCAATCAACGACGTCAAAAGAATTGTGCAAAAATTACCAAAGTAATTCGGTTGATAGTTTGTATTTGTTTATTCAATGTGAAAATCATTTGGTTGGCGAATACGTAACTTTAAAATCCGCAGTAAAGTTGAGTTTTCAAAAATGCCAAGTATTTGGTGTTTTTCAATCAGATTCAGGTGAAAATCTTTTGTAATTTGTTCGTAAAGTGATTAAAAGAGTAAAATCTGTTCGTGATATAAAAAACAGTTGTCGTTAACGCCGCGTTTGGTAAACCTGCTTGGGTGAATTCTATCTTTTTTAACGACCAACACATCGATCAACCATTTTATCCTTATTATTCTACAGACGGCTTTAGTGGAAGGCATTTTTTGTTGACACAATTACAAAACGATATCAGTTGGCTGTTTATTGACATGTTGAATGTTTATGACATTTATTCTTTATTAATTCCATCGAGAGTTTATAAGATCGGTAATGCAGCAAATGACTGAATGAATGACTGAATAATTGCAATCATTTCTATTACAGAGAAGAGATATGACATCATTTTTAAAATTGTTGATAAGAAGATAACGATTGATACGAATAGGAAATATACTTTATCAGACTGTAATAAAAGTATAAACAATCCACCAGAACCGGATGGAGAAATATTGAATTGGTTTTGTAGCGAACCGTTTAAAAGTGGCAGATATATATTTGTACAGAATGTTGAAGACGTTGTACTGCAAATTAATGAGCTGTTTGCCTATGGTCAAATGAACGAAAGTCATCATGAATCGACTTTTCAGATACCTCTGATTGGTGCTTATTCAAATTCCAACGAATCTTTGGACGATATGGTAGATTATAAAAATTCCCCTCTAAAGGCTATTGATGGAAATTTCAATAATATTCCTTCAATCTTCCCCTTTACATCTTGTACAATAATTAAAAATACTGTCGCAGCTACATTGACAGTTATCTTCAATTCCGCCTATTACGTTAGTCAAGTAATTATTCAATCTCGCTACGACGTAACAACAACAAGTAAGCCGGTCCAATCTTTTCCATTATTCTCACTGTTTTGTTTCGTCTTCTCTGTACAGACGTATTTAACAACGTAAGCATATTCGTCGATTGGAAAGAACGGAATATGGTGGAATTGTGTTCAACATTTACTACAAACAAACTTATTGTTAATTTCCTAATTGAAATTGAATGTAATAGATCAATGATTGGTAGTGAATTATCAATAGTTAGAAAAGACCATTCGAATAGGTTAGATATATGCGAATTGAAAGTGTTTGGAAAGAGAAGGGCTTAGTAAAAATCTTTCATTTTTTCTAAGCCCCAATTCAGCCAGAATGAATAATAGTTATCTTATTCTCAATTTGTTTTTTCCTCTCCAGATCAAAACAAGGCCTGCTTTAATAAGGTGAAAATATTAAAAAAATATGAAGTTCAAAGCAAACAACGACTATTGTTCAATGAATAGAACAACTGAAAATTTAACAAACTGCTTCTTTCTCTGCAACGAAACGAAATGTTCAACTTTATCATTCAACTTTGCTACTAATTTATGTTGTTTGAATAGCGTTAGATTGAAAGATACAAACTCACTTGAATATTCTTCGCTATCTCTTGTCGGAAAGAAGATGTTGGCCGACTATGATAAATGCCAAACTGCCTATTGCTGTACAATCTGACAATAGCTGTTTTATGTTTTCATTAACACAACTTGGTACAAGTGGTTTGTAATAGAAATTGAAATATTGCTTGTATTCAATGCAAATTCGAGAATGGCAAACTTTAAGTTTGTGTCCGAGTTAAAACTGGTGAAAATTTTCATTTTATCGAGACAAATTAAATATTAAATGAATGAAAAATGAAAAACAAATAAATTACACAAAATGTTTGTTGAAAAGATTGTTAATCAAGTTGAAATTTATAGTAAATTCTTTGACTATTTTAATAGGAAAGTATAAAAGGAAAGAAACTACATAAATAATTTAACAATTTAACGTTACGTAATTTCGCAAGTTTTAATTGAAAACTCTGTAAATTGTCAACTGCAAAACGCGTATTAAGCATTAAATTGTCGTTCATTTCAGTTATTTACCACTTGGAAATCATTATTTTTTCAATTTTCCTCATTTCTAGTCAGGGTTGGAGTTTTTCTGCTAAATTAATGAAATACCGTCGTCGTCGTCGTCGTCGTCGTCGATGTGTTGATAAAGGAAAATTCGCGTTGTTTCCGTTCCATGATGATTTGTATTCTCTTCACTTGCGTTAAAGATTGTTGATCAACAAAAAAGCGGCTAGTCATTTCGTCGCTGTAGTTGTGGAGGAAATGATCGCAACATTTCAAGTAGTCAATTGCTTCGTTTTTCTTTAATATTGAAAAGTCTATATGGTTGAGAAGTTTCTCCAAGAGGCCGAGAATCGACGAGTCGTTCGAAATTGGATGAGCAACTTTTAAAAGTACTTTTACCAAATGATACTTCTTTAAAACCTAAACAAAAAGAGTTGGAAATAAACTGTAGACGTTGATTGCTTATCGGTGTTTGTTTGTTTGTTTGTTTACGTACAAAATGAACTTTATAGTAGAAATGATTGGTTATATGACAAACCGATTTCAAAAGTAGCCATAAATCATCGCAAGGATCGTAGTATTTGTGAAAATGTTGAATAATTTTACATCCAATATTTATTACTTTAATCCATTGCTGTTCATAGTTGGGAAATTGCAGTAGTTTTGATAAGAGAACGTAACAGTGGCGAAGCATCGTCACTTTGATTTTCAACTTTTCTTTACTTTCGTCAGTAAATTTATGATAATCAATTATCTCAATTAGAACCTATTCAGAATAAAAGGATACAAGCTGGATTATACAATACCACTACAACATATACAATTCGCCCCTACCTCCCATAAATGGTCTTTAGTCGTTTTTGAACAATTATCAATTATTAGTTGATCAATGTCATACTGCAAAAAGATGGATTCGCTGAATGTATTACCGAATTTGAATTTAGATAAACATTCCAACAAATATTCAACGTCTCGTTTTCTTTCATTCTGTTCAAAGGAAAAAGAATAATATGAAAAAAGCGTTAAGAAAAACTGAAGAAACTGAAGAAGAAAAAGAAGAAGAAGAAGAAGATAAACATTGGCAATTACGGGTAAATAAAATGTATGAATTTTATTGGAAATTCGTTGAAAAACTTTTAAATCTTCCTCGTCATTCAAACATTTAATGAATAATCCCAGATATTCAAGTTTATCGTGTTTCAATACAAAATTCCTATAGATGATCGGATAGAAAAGGGTTAGTTTAGTTGGTTTAGAAGAGACGAATAGTACAAACCTTAGAATTTCAATATCAATCGATAATCTGCCAATTATGGTGAAATATTTCAAATTTTTCCATAAAGATTTATCGAAGAATTCATTAATTGAGGATGGATTTTGAAAAAAGTTCAATTGTAATCGACTTAGTTCGATATGTTCAAGTTGGGAAAGAAATGTCAAGTATTGCAGTTGAAGAAACGATATTTGTAGATGGTTGGTTGAATATTTAAAAACTGTTAAACCTTTAAGGGATTTTATAGACTCTAGTTTTGTAACACAAGTACCGGTGATATTGAGATGGCTGAGCTGGAAGATTTCTTTGCAAACAACCGTTAAACAATCATTATTAAAATCAGTAAAGCTAACGTCTAACCTTGTTAAACTTTTGCATTTGATCAAGTATTGAATTGCATTTAGTGGATTAGCTCTACTTAATAGGCAATCGTCTAAGGTTAATTCTATTAGATTTGTCGAGTGAAGGAAATGAAACCATTGGGAAATCTCTACAACTTGTAGATTATAAACACGTAGAGATGTGGGACGATGATTGTTCAAGAAGGATAAAGTTGACTTGTCACCAATACTTTCGCCATTGAATCGAATATAGTCGAGATTATGAGCAATGAAGGAGAGACATTTAAAGTAATTGTCATTAATACCTAATTCGTATTCGTTAAAATAATCCAGAATTTGAATGAATAATGCGGAAGGTAAACTAATTAATCTCGAATCTAACCAATTAGTCATTAATTCACAATTGTTGGCAATAAAATTTAATAGAATGTTCCTTAATTTCAACATTCTAACCTTAACCGTATCGTAGGTTCAGTGTAGTGTTTCACTAAAACTAAACTGGTTGATTGATATTTTTTTCTTTCAATATTATTAGCATTGAAAAATAATAATAGGTCTATATTAAACAAATGTTAATTTGCATAGATGGAGGATAAAGAACGATACATCGAATACAACGCTTGAATAATAATGAATCTGCAAAAGGTCCTATATTTTCAAACTGCAATAGGTTTTGTAGGATTTTAACACTAATAAATTATTCTTCAAATACGCAGAGTGTCTGTTAACAAATGCTGTTGGAAATAAAGAATCATTTAATATTTAGTATTTTTCAACAGGATTACAAAGGTTTTATAAATAAATAGCAGATACTAAAACATTAACTGAACGCATTTTTTGATACATTTAGACGTATATGCATGCATATATATATATATATATATGTATATCTACAGCATAAATTTGCATACATATGAGATATATATAGATATGTAAATGCGCCCTTCAAAAAAACTTTACTTGATCACACTATCCTCATTTGGAAAGTGTCAAATATGATGGAATTTTTACAGCTATTCACCTATTTTTTGGCATTTTTATGGGTAAAACATTGCTACTCAGGTAAGAATAACTTGCAATTAGATAGATAGATAGATAGATAGATACATAGATTAATTGATTCATTGATTCATTGAATGATCATTTTTGCCATTTGTTTTCTCTAATCTATGTTTGAATTTCCGTAGAAAATCTAGAAGTTTGCGAATATCAAAAAGCGGGAAACAGAGGTATTCCAGGCTATGATATATCGATATCTGGTCATTCACCTTCAGGAAAATATTCAATTGCCAAATGCAAGGAATTTTGTGCTCGGAGCAAGGCTTGCCGGTTAGTAAAGCTAGAGATATTTTGTAATAAATACGCATAGATAAACCTTATGTTTGTTGATTGATTGATTGATTGATTGTTTAAAACGATTAGGGCTTTTGATTATTTCTCCTCTGGTACCTGTCGACTAAAAAAGAGAAAATATACCGGAAGTTATAATGGAATTTCGAATTACTTTAAAATTAATTGCAGTAAGTAAATTCTTTTTGAAAAATGACTGACTGTTTGTTGATTCAAGTTTTTTAGCTAAATTTTCATTAGGTAAACTCATTCAAAATTCATTTTCATCATGCATTCTCATACAAAAACCAAACAAAACAGAGTACACAAAAAACCTGATAAACATACTCTAATCCTAAACTATGTACTGTCCTATATGGTTGATATTTAGTACATAATACAATTCATTCATAACTAATTCAAAATTTTAATTGTTTGCATGCTCCAGCGTACATCTTTAATTACTATAAATTTTTCACAGATACACACACTATAACTGAGCAGAGAAACAAAAATTTGAATTTATAGAAATCGTAGCCTTTATTGAGTTTTTACTAGACGGAACGTATTTAATGTTACGATGCTTTAGCCATTTAATTTCAATGTGCTACGTGTATGCAGAGCGGCCATTGCCCTTTTTTAAGGATTTCCTCCTCGCTTTCGCATTTCTAAATTGCCTTCTCCATCTTAAAGCTGACCTATGGTGGTATGAGACGTTTAATGGAAACAATTGAAACAAGTGAATGAAACATTTTGCGTAAGAAAAAGATTAATATCAATTGCTTACCTTATTACCAAATGTTACAGACTTTAAACTGTGTATAATGTGAGTTATTTTGTATCCTTCACTTTCGTACATTTTAAGAGCTCTTTCTTCCTCTGCGTGAACGACCATGGATAGTTTCTATGGATCGAAAATCCAAGATTAATATTGTTTTGAAAGGATACGGTTGATCAATCTATTCATACGCTAGCATTCCTTTCCTTACCCACACTTTCCATACATTGCATCATAGTTCTTCCTAAATCTTTACCTTTATGCTTGCCGCAAACGGTAAGAAATTCTATGATCTGTTCGTTCTCAACAATCTGCTTATTCAATAAATCGAATGAACCAAATGTACAGAGTAATCCCAGGACGGTTTTCGCCGACAACATTTTAAACATCACTGAAATTGGTAAATTTTTCTCGACCCTTGAAGCAGGAAATATAATGGTAGAGTGTTTAATTTCGTTAGAATACTTTTCATAGCCAAAATATAACAGCTTACCTGTTTGAATCTCGTATTCTACAAATTGCAATTATTCGTTTTTCAACTGTGTGGTAGGCTACTAAAAAATTCTTCCTATTTTCTTCATCATATTCAAAGGACTTTTTGTAAAATTTCTCAAGACTAGGAAATTCCTCCTTAGACGTAATGTATGACAAATTCTTTACAAATCCTTTCACAAATAGTTGTGCAACGCTACCTTCTTCACCCTTTCTCATAGTTCTAAATTCCAGATTTTCCCTTGTAGGATATTTGATAACCTTCTCCGCATTATTCTTTAATCTATCAACCGTTCCAACCCTTTTATAGCTACAAATTAGTCCTAAAAGTCGTCTGTTCAGCATGTTCTGCCTAAATTTGAGAGTATGGCGAAGAGAGACTTTAAAATAAATATCTAATTCCAGAAATTATATGTTAATATAAGTCTTTGCCATTATCATTCTGATTTGCTATCTCAATAAAAAAGATTGATAACGTAGTTATCAAGTTCTATAGATTATTTATAAAATGAAAACTCTACGATCTCGGACCAATTTTAATTTAGTCTGTACGTTTGCTCTATACATAATCAACTTTTTTCGCTATTACTCTTTTTCAGTATAATTTAATCATTTTACTTTCTATTATCATGATGCTCGATTGGTTTATAGCTTTAGTAATCAACAGCCTGGGCAGATGAATTGGGCATAGCAGCAGCTATGCAGGACTAAAGCAGACTTGAGATGATGTATTATTTTGTGGTGACCGGTGTATGGGATGAATAGGACAAATCGTTTCCACTCTTTCTGCAGAGGTTGATGTTGCCTCGGCAATCTTAATGTCGATGGCTATGTTTGAATGTTTGAATATCATCCCTGGACACGTTTCAATTCAAAAAATGTAAACGGTTACAAGTATGGAATATTCAAACTGTACTGTGTATTTTGATTAAAGAGGAACTAGATTAAATAAGATAGTTTAACTTTCAGCAACATTTCATTGCAAGAATTCTTGATAATAAAGCCGATTAGATTGGTTATCAATGCGTCAGAGTTAGCTCAAACAAGTAATTTTTAACTACATAGATATAAATCGTGGATAAAACTTTGTCACCTAACCCTGTTAAAAGCTAATTGTCTTTCCTATTCGTAAAACTTTGCAAAGTTCTTTATATTCGAGTTATGAACGAACTCTAGATAGAGCTAGCAGCATTCTGTATAAAAAGAAAGCGAATCGAGACACTTGGTACTAATATAAGTAGTGATATGTGAATGAATTTCAATTTCCCTTCAATTGAGTTAGCAATAAAAGGTCATTATTTTTTACAGTAATAATAATAGGAGAGTCTTACATTAATGATTGACTTGCATTGTTAAGAGAGTTAATACATTATAATTTCGTTCCTTCTATATACTCTTGGTATAAAAATATCTGACATTTACTATCAATTATGCAAACGCATACTAAACATTTTGACGTCATTCGAAAAAGACTATTGGGAATGTAGTTATTGGTGATTGATTGATTAATTGTTTTTCCTCATTTTAGAGCATGCGCACTAAACAAAAAGAATAATATCTATTCTTGAGTTTGGGTCAACGATTGCTCGAACGAGTGATAACGACTGCCAGGTTATTTATTCCACATCTAAATTAAAAACAACAAAGCAGAGAGAGTTATTGTTGTTTGAGGGAAAATACTGCGTAGAATGCATTCGGGATTGGCTACCTCTATTCCTTTTATTACTCATTTCCCTAATAATAAGCCGAGAGCTAGTATATTTTATTTTTGTTCTAACTTTTGTTCTAACGTGTCCTCTACTGCTTGTAATTGATCCCAAAGAACAGGTTGGCTTAGCGTTGTTTGCAGGACGGTGCAAAATTCCATTCTCTTAAAGTTTACAATTTGCAATTGTGAACTTTCTCGAAAGATTGTTGTTATATTGCATGAGTTGAATGTTGGGAAATTTTCAAAGTAAATACATCAGTTGAGTAGAAATCATACGGGCTGTGAAAGAAGAAAATTGGTTAGGTTTCCACCTTTTCCTCTGTAAACATTTTCTATGTAAAGAAACTTTTCTATTGTTATACTATACATTTTTTGTGTTCATCAGCATACTGTATTATCATTTTCAATATATCTGAAAATACTTGATAACCGACTAAAGATGAAATAATATAGATCAAATTATGGAGCTGCTAGTCTGAACTGTTTGATTCTGGAAGGAACTTCAGTATTGAAAAGTAAAGATATATTTTAATATAGAGAATGTTGGTTGTCATTACGCTTAGCTATTATAACGAATAGTTTATTGTTGTTTTGGATAATCTTGTTATCGTATAGTTTGGAATAAAATAGCAAATCATCTCGATAACTATTATACAAAGTTCATCTTCCATATTGACCTAATTATTATTCATTAGGAAAGCAGTCCTTCAATTAAAGAATTAACAGATGACAAGGATATACTTTTGTCATAGCAATGAGAGACTTTTTCATTCTCTCCACACGGATGAACTTTCTTCTTATCGCAGAAATTAAAGTCGCTGAATAAATTCAAAAGTTTGCATTCATCGCGATTAAATACAATACAAATGAACATTGTTTTCCAGAAGTAAACCGTAGTACAATCAATTTCGCAAACAGAAACGATATTTATACTGTTTGAACTATTTCTAATTGACTACAGCTGTTTTCGTCTAATCCGTCGGAGCAGTCTGGATGACCATCAAAACAAATTTACTACTAATACATGCATTTTCAATTTTACATGGGAAAATCTATCGCAAGTTGGCGTCATCAGGATTGGAGAGACAAGTTTTATTTCAAAATAAAAAAAACACTCACATCTTCCGTCGAGAATAGATTTTAATACATCTACTATCTATTCCTTGCGGTATCTGCTGTATATTTTGAATTGAAGATGATAGACTGTCCTACGTCGCGTCCGATATCATAATATGATCAATAAATTTGTGCTTCGTCCCGACTGGATACCCTTAACCCTGGTGAATTGAACATCTTACAAAATAACTTTGTGTCATTGTAAAACATAATTTTCCTTTGAATTTATACAAAAATAAATAGCAACTTTTCATATTTTGCAGTCGTTTAAATAGTCAGTTTTGTAGGTCGGTACAAACAAGATAGAACGCCGAGGTTTCATTAGTAGTATACCGGCCCAGTAAATATACATTACTTTCTTTGAAAGCCAAAATGCTTACAAGCGATATTTGCTGATGTATTTATTAAATTTGAAATGGGAATACGGTAAAAGGTCCCATTCATTATCGATAAACACTGAAAGTTTTCAATACAGGGTTGACGTCATATTTGGCATATAATATATTGAATAACAGCAAACCTCTCTCCGAGTCTTTCTGTCCAGCTAAAATAGACTGGATGAATGATTATTAAAAAAAAGAAAAAACAATTACCACGAGTACGTTTACCACTCCTTGTACTTTCGTTTCAACTTGCTAACATTTATAGCGTATATACACTGTCAAATACATATGGCATTTGTATAAAAATGGCCTATATCATCAGTATGGTTTCACTGGAGAGTATGAACGTTTCAGTCTACCTGTGAATTTCTATAGGAATACGTTAATTATAATTAAATATTTATATATTTATTTCGCTGCTAGTATGTTGGAGATAGATTTAATATGATTATGATGATGGCAATCACTTAGTATTCAATATTAATAAGCGATTTACCGATGTAGACAATGAAAGAAGCTGAAATTTATTGAAGAGATGATGATGGCTTGCTAATATTCTTTGAATATGTTATTATGCCAAGTTTCTGTGATAGGTTTTCAGGATGTATCGATTGAAATTTATTTACAAATCATTCGCTTAAACAATAAGAAGGTTCCATGGTGTAACGGTTAGCACTTTGGACTTTGAATCCAACGATCCGAGTTCAAATCTCGGTGGAACCTGACTAATTATCCAACTTTTTGCAATAGTTTTACCTTTTAATCGAAAGTTGGAGAATGAGTCATTTGGTTATTCTGGTATAAAAAGGGGAGAGTGACGATGGCGGTTTCTCTGTCTTGATTTTTTCGCTATTAGCTCAACTTCAGCTGTTTAAATATTATATAATCAATTGAGTATTGTACATAAGATAAAAATAACACAGTAGCGAGATAATCCAATCTATAGTGATTTTATTCCAGGGAGAAAAATCGTAAAGAGTGTTAGAGAAGAGAACGAAGCATCTTTTGCTGTTTTCCCATCAACTTTTCAAGTATTTGAACGTAGTTTCAGAAGTTTTTAACAATAACCTAATTCGCTATTGTCTGATTAGGATAGAGATATCGATACGTTTGAGGAGAGAGACAGAGAGAGAAATCAATAAAAAGATTGATTTTGAAGTTTGTTTCAAGTTATTTCTCTGACAGACTAGTCGTGTTTCAAAGTAGTTGCGAAATAATGCAGGCTTTACTATATGAGATGATAACAAAGTAACTCGCTAGCTTCATAGTATTTTCTTATACTACTTAGAAGAACGCGCTCCGGTTGGCGACAATCGTTTATCAACGTTAACATTCTATATAAGAAGAAGAACGTTACCAGAATGCTATTTTCAAATATTAGTAATAACTGACCGTTGATTCGTGCCCTGTTACCTTATTTGAATTCCGAAGTTACTATTGTAGATATAGGTCTAATCGTCTAATAAAAAACGTTCTATCTTAATTCTAACATTATTTACATAATGTGAAGGTTCCATGGTGTAACGGTTAGCACTTTGGACTTTGAATCCAACGATCCGAGTTCAAATCTCGGTGGAACCTGACAAAAAGTCGACATCTTTTTGGATAAAGTTTCCTTATGCTTAGGTGGGGAAGCATGCGCAAAGCGTTGAATTGTTAAGAAAGGGAGTAGTTGGTCGTTATATTTTCGTTGATGCGTGTGATTTGTTTATAAGAGAGAAGATCGAGACAAAAAGAGAATTTTCAGTGAAAATAGTTCAATCGTTGGAGATCTATAGGAAAAAAGAAAAGTGTCTATAAGTAGAAATAAGAAAATTATTGGTTTCCCTATAAGATTTATTGAGTTTTCGAAAGAAAGAAAATTCGGTATGCAATCAATGAAAATCTTTAAGAAATAAGTAATTTTCACCTATTTATAACCCATCTATTACTATTTATGTAGAAAGAACAACACGATGCATAAAGAGAAGTGGACTGGAACGAAATTGTTTGCATTCTTCCCTCCGCGACCTAAGTGGGACGAGAGACTTTATTCATTTGTATTTTGTATTAGTAATACATCGATTCGCTTTAGCATTGGCGGAGAAAGTATGAATATTCAATATACTAATAATTAATTAGACAACTGAATACGAAAGCTCACTTTTTATCCTTTTGATTTACAATAATGAATACAAAGTTGCAGCAAGACGGAGCATTTCTTTGGTGTTTTATACTTGCAATAGGTAAGTAATCTCGTCGTCTTTCTCTCTTCCAATACTCATTTCCATATGCCCACTTGAACAGTCTCAAGCTGCAACTATGAATATTTTCCTGGTAAGAATTTGTACGGTCATAACCTAGTTTTGAATCCAGCAACCGGTTCGACGAACGTTGTTGCAAATTTAACTCAATGTAAATTGCTTTGCAGCAAGAGGGAGGATTGCAAGTGAGTATATCTCCATAGATTGGATATAGCGTACAAACTATATATGAATAATTCACAAAACAGAGCTGTGGATTTTTTCCATTCAACCGATTTTTGCGGCTTAAATTCCAAAAGAAAAGATGAAGATTTCGGTAATTTCCTAACAAATTCCATGTATAACTACTACGAAAAGATTGATTGCGGTAAGTAGATGTAATTTGTAAGATAAAAGAAAGGGAATTGTTCAAAACAACTATTCATAATAACTTGATTCATTTAGAATATTCAACATTAGACACATCTCTTTGATTTAAACAAACACATACTTTTACAACAATACCAACATTGTATACAATAAATATTTACTTTTAATTCTTTTCTTATTGCTTTTCCAACAATTCAGACAAAACTAAAAAACACCAAAGAAAGCAATGAAAATAAATGTTCAATATTTTCATAATAGTTTTCTATTTATTTACATCAAACTTTTATTAAGAATGAAAGATGTCGAAAGAAATAATTTCTATTTCGCTGTTGCCGTTTTTTATGGTGAAACAAGAAGAACAAGAAGAAGAGAGAGGGGGAGGTGGGGGGGGGAGTAGAGGAGAGGGAAAGAACGAGTTTACTAATGAAATATTTAGGATAAAGACATTGAAAAGAAGGATTTCAACTTGGCAGCATGTTTGTATTTGTATATGCAATATACATATATACTGTGTATATATGCACGTGGACACACACCAAATTGTATAATAGAGATGGCGTTCAACCATTTTAATATTTACAAATTTATAGTTCCAACTGTACAGAATCACTCAAATTGTAATAGAGCGATATTACAACGTCAATTTTCGTTCTCAAGTCAACAAAGTTTCGTTTCAAATTGATTCTTTCGAGAGAAGCGAAATCTTTAAAGACTTTTGCGAGCAACATTCCCTGTTCTATTGTCAATCGGCAACAGCCTAAATCTATTTCTCTTAGATTGTGCAGCAGCTCTAAGGCTGGAATTAGAGAGTTGAAACCTGCGTTAATGTCCATATTTGAATTTAAAAGAACCTTCTCCAGAAGCGGACAATCTTTAAAAACTTTACCCAAGATAACTCCTTGCTCCTCATTCAATTTACACCTGGATAGATCTAGTTCTTTTAAATTGCGCAACTTTTCTAAACTGCGAATAATACTAGTAATACTTTCTTCCATACCAAAATTATTCTTTAAATAGATTCTCTCCAATAGTAGACACTTTTGAAAGGATTCAGCCAACAGTTTTCCCTGTTTCTTATTCAATTCGCAAAACGAAAGGTCAAGGTCTTTAAGATAGGGTAACAATTTTAACGATGAAATAATTCTATCGAAACCGCTTTGTACGCCTCCGTTGTATTTAAGGTAGATTCTTTGAAATGAATAAGAATTTATGAATAGTTCTTCGAGAATTTCTCCCTGTTTCGCTTTTAATCCGCAGCCCGATAGATCGATTTGATCGATAATCCACGATCTCTTCATCGCAACAAGAATATTATCTATTTCTCCTTTAATGGTTTTATTATAATCCAATCCAATTCTACGTAGGAGAGGGCAATTTCTAAGTAATCCTACCAGTAATTTACCGTGATATTCATTCAATTCGCAACCGGAAAAGTCGACGTCCTTTAAATATTTCAGCCGTTGTAAACTTTCAATAATCGTATCGAAACTTGAACAAAGACCTTTATTAAATTTCAAGCAAATTCTTTCCAAGCAACTGCAACGGCGTAATACTTTGGCGAGCAGCTTTCCGTGAGCTGCATTCAATCCGCATCCGGATAATTCCAATTCTTTTAGGGTGGTAATCGTATCGAGAGAACAGAAAATCGGATAGAAACCTAATCCAATATTCTTGCAATACCTTAGATAGAGTTTTTCCAACGACCTATTAATTTGCAGTACTTGAGCCAATGATTCGCCCTGTTTTTCATTCAGATTACATCCGGATAGATCAATTTCGTTCAGTATTAAAGTTGTTTGAAACGATTGAATAATTTTATTGAGGCTTGCTTTCATATCTTGATTATACTTTAAATGAATCCCTTCTAACGAACAACAACTTTTAAACAATTCGGCAATTATCGATCCGCTCCTTTCATTCAATCCACAACCGGATAGATCGATTACTCGAAGACTCTTTGAAGATCTTTTAAGCGACGAAATGATTTTATCGAAACTACTCTCTAATCTATGATTACATTTCAAATAGACTTTTTCCAAAGTGCAACAATTTCGAAAGATTTCCGCAAGCAATAATCCGCATTTATCGTTCAGATCGCATCCGGAGAAATCTATTTCTTTAAGGTGATTTGACGATCTTAACGATTTAATAATCGAATAGAAGTTCTGTTCAATATTCTGGTTGTTTTTCAAGTATAATTTCGATAAATGCGAACAATTCGATACGATTTTTGACAATATTTCTCCTTGACAAACGTTCAATCCGCAATTCGATAGATTAATCTCCCGAAGGGTTGTCGACTCTTTCAAACTAGATAATATATTATCAAAGCCAGTTGTAATGCTAATATTTCCGTTAAGATTGACTTTTTCAAGTTTAAAATTAAATCGTTTGACTAAATCACCCAATAGTTTGCCGTGTTTGTCATTCAATCGGCAATTAGTGAAATTGAACTTTTTCAAACAACGTAACTGTTGAAGAGACGTTAAAATATCGTCAAAACCCTTCTCAATCTCGTCGTTATTCTTCAAGCAAATATCCTCCAATAGGGGGCATATTGAGAATAGTTCGGCAAGCAGTAGTCCGTGTTCTGCGTTCAGGTTGCAAGTGGACAGATGTAGAACTTTTAACGAACTACATCCCTTTAACGACGAAAGGAGAGCGCCTTGTCCTCTCTTCATATCCGGATTGGTAGCCAGATAGAATTTTTCAATTGATTTACTATATTCAAACACTTCGGCTAGTAAAATTCCGTGATTTCCTTGTAAATTGCAGTTGGAAAAGTTTAAGTATTCTATTCTAGGATTAGACCTTTTTATCGAGCGAATGATTGAATAAAGGCTTTCTTTCAATTTCCTATTCGAGCTGAGATTAAGCGATTTAAGCGAAAAGCAATTCAAGAGGATAGCGCTTATCAATTCACCCTGATCAGTTGTTAGATTGCAGTCTGAAAAGTTAATTTCTTGAATCTTTTGATCGGAGAGTTTCAGAGATGGAATAATTTTATCAAAGCTGCCTTTGAGTAGTTTGTTCGAAGCCAAATTAATAACCTTGATTGTTGATAGTTTCGTTAATAAATCGCTTAGTATTTTACCTTGTGTTTCGGTTAGTTCGCAATTTGATAAATTAATATGAATTATACGACGACAGTGTTCCTTTAAGGCTGAGAATATTGAATAAAAAGTCTGATTTGTAAAGGTACTATAGCTAAAATCCAATACTTCTATAGTTGAATTTAATTTCCATACATCCCTATCAAGTTTCGTTGTAGGCATATATTGAAAATTAATGTTTATCACTTGTAATTCTTTTATGTTCTTTTTCATAAAATACTTGAACGGTTTAATTGAATGAAAACAATTTCCAACCATTCGACGTCTTTTAAATAGGTCGTCCTTTTTGCATAGATTCAATCTACAGTCGTTTCTGTATTTCATACTCTCTTCGACAATTACGAGATTCGTTTCAAAACTATTGCTGCTGCCGGTATTGTCATTAATTGAGGAAGAGTTGATCAATTTTAATGCCTTTCTCTTAGTTCTGGCAAGAAATTCGTACTTTCCCTCTCTATTCGAGCAATTTACGTTGGAATTCAATAGGACAAACTTTCCTACATGTTTACTTTCTATAACTCCATTTGGTATGTTGGAAGCGTTACTTTTGTAATGACTATTGTAGTTGATAAACGTTGAATTATCTCTATTTCGTACAATTGTATTGAGGATGATAATAGATTTGATCTGTTCCCTCTTCTTTCTCTCTTCCAACATATCGTGAAAATCCAAATAAATATAGTATGGTATTATTTTATTTTCGAGTATTAAAGTCTCCGTATCGTTTAATTTACTTAAAAAATTCATGTAATTTCTATCAACAATCCGTAGGAAGTGTTTGCTTTTATCTTGATAACTTTTCAAGAAAACTGAACCGTTTGCCGTTTGAATATCGAAGACGTCTTTGCAATTAGGATCGTTGGAAATTTCAAACTCTTCAATGAATCTTTGTATTGTCGAATTCGTTTCGTTTCTATTGCGGCTGTGGGAAGAGATGTTGAAAATATGCTTTTTCCATTGTATTCTTTCGACGTTCGTTGAAGAGATTAAAGTTAGAAAAACTTCTAGAAACGATTCACTCTGATAGAACAACTCTATTCTTTCGCCACAAATCAACGATAAATCCTTCAAATTCGGTGAATGTTTACTTAAAATATGAAGAATAGATTTGAAAGAAACCGAGTTAATTGCAATCGTCATATTGGTTAGATTAGATCCAATTCTATGTAGGAGAACGGCTAGTATTGTTGAACTTGAATGTCCTTCATTCGTGTCGTTTAATTTTAATTCGTAATTATGGTAGCGTCTCTTTCCAAGGTGTTCCTTTACGAGATATTTAGATTCGTATAGAGTTGGAATAATATCAAATTTAAGAATGATTTTTTCAAATATATCAATATTTCCTTGTTTAATAAAGTTCATTGTGTTGAAAAATTGAATTCTTTTCACTGCCATAAGAAATTCTTTCATATTCTTTTCGAATTGTTTCCAAGTTTTACTTATGCTTTTAACACGTCCGGAGAAATTAATCGGATATTGCGCAATAATATACTTAGCCGTAAAGAACTCTTGAAAGGAGTGATGATAGAATTGAACATTGTTTTGATCGTCTAATTGAAGAATGTTGCCTAATGTGACTATAATCTCTTTTAGTTGATGATCGTCGGCAATGTTGATTGTTGATTGATTCGTTTTTAGGTGACTGAACGCCAGCTTGTGTAGTTTATGGATAATTGGCATAGTGTTTCGCTTATCGAGACCGTCCCTCTCTTGAATAATCCTCATGATTTCCGTATAGTATTCGAAGCGATTCTCTTTAAATTCGCATTTATTATACTGCCAAACAATATAAACAATTAGAGAGTATAAAGGAATTCGGCAAAAATCCTTAATGAACCATTTTTGATTGTTCAGCACTTGAAGAAAGTATTGAATTCTTTCTGAACAGCCAATAATGGATTTTTCGTAGAAATATTTCAATTCTTTATCATTAAAACTTTCCAACTCAAATACTATATCGAATGATTCTTGTATTTCTTCTAATTTCCACTTTCTCGACCAAACAATTGTCGATAATTCCGGATTAGGATTATTTATTAAATCGTTAATTTTCCATTTTCTAGAATTAACCACTGTTGATAATTCTCTATTTGAAGTGCCGTTCGTTAAATCATCAATTCCGTACGAGTTGTTTATCTCGTCTATTCCGTCTAAGAATAGTAGAACTTTGGAGTTGTTTTCGTGGAAAAATAACTGTACGAGTCTTTTGTCGATATAGCTAATCTGTTGGAAATTTTGTTGAATAATTGCGTCAAAGATATCTTGTTGATTAGTTAAATTGCGTAAGGATAGACGAATAATTAATTTATCTGTATGCTTTTCCCAAACATCGTTCGCCCAACAATAGATAAGATGTCGAACGTGAATAGTCTTTCCAATCCCTTCTCCTCCTTCTATTAGGATTTTATTGAATTTATCAAAAATTCCGTAGAAATTACTATAATCGACGCCGTTTCCATTCCATTCACAACAATTTTCAAGTGTGCTTTTATCCTTAGTTGTTATTAATTTTATAGTTGCGGTTACATCCGATAGTCGAATGGGTTTAATCTCTTCGAAGAGTAGTGGGCGGATCTCGCATAAATCCTTTCTCCTTAGACATTTTACATCGTCAATTAATAGCTTCCATAATATCTTACTGGTTTTCAACTTGTTGGCAAACTCTTTAATAGATTTCTTGTCGTTTTCCTTGAGATTGTTGCAAAAGTTGTCTATTGTAGAATCGGTTAGAATTTGAATTAAGTAATTAAAAGCTGATTCTCCGTAATTGTCGAATTGCGAGTGCAAATCGTTCAATTCGATTCGAGTTGTTAGCTTTAGATCGTATAGCTTTGAACAAAACTCTTGAAATGATATATATTTTCCAACGTTGGTTTTTAGTATAGATTTATAAAAGTTTAACGAAAGTAATTCCAGAGATTCCATTGACTGCAAAGTAGTTGGTAATACCGTTATAAATGTATTGAAATTGTATAATGTTTACACCTACCTTAGTATATTCAATTCCCTTGAATATATAACATGAGGTATAATTCTTTTTCTCTCTCTCTCTCTTACTCTCTCGCTTTCTGTCTTGAAATTGCAAAGCGTGTTTAATTTACCTAGGCCTCTTATTCAATATCAGCCAACCGACCAACCGACCGACCGACCAACTAACCAATGAACCATTTACCATTTGCGGTACAAAAGTTATTGATTAGCAGACTAATGTTTTTTTTTCTTTCTTTCTATCGAGTACTGATTATTTTTTCTATTTTTATCTTTTATTCTATATATATGCATATGACTATAGACAGTCTATATCTAAAGGTATTTCTCTATATTCAACATAGAACGAATTCTTGGAACTATTTCGTTCGTTTCGTATATTCATCCTCTAACTTTCCTATCTCGTCTAAAAATAGAATATCAAGTTGAACAAACGAATCTACGGTAAAGTATAGATTTGCCTGTTTTCCAACCTTAAAAATAGACTTTAAGTCTTGTCTGCTTAGTTGACAATATTTTGTAATAATCCCTGTCGGCTCATTTTTATGGTTTAGGTTTATTTCTTGTAATTGATATCGTTAAGATTGTGCTTATTATAAATAAGTAGTTTTAGAAGTTTAAAGAGGGAGAGAATGAACCGTGTAGAAGAGATTTATGTCATTTTTGCGTAAGGTGAATGTATTGCAGAGTTGTTAATAGTTAGTTTAAATAACGAATATTGAATATATATATATACTGTATATATATTTCTATAAAGATATAGGCCTTAATTATTTTATAATCTATTTAATAGAAATCGTTATTTTAGTAGATAAACGTCAAATAAATAATGTTAAAAGAACGAAAACAGAGGAAAAATAACATTTCTACACCAACTTTTCGTTAATTTATTATGAAACGGAGATGGAAGAAGAACGATTTTTTAGTCTAGATTTAGACCCATAAGAGGGAAATATCAGATTAAATCGACCTGAACTATTAACACATATTGGCGTTTACTGTTTACTAAACGTCAAATAAAATGATTTATTTAAACATCATGAAAAACATTAAATAAAATGGAAGAGAGAGCTCTTTTTCGCATTCAAGAAACGTTTGTCATCTGCTATTAGACTCTTCTCTCTTCAGAACGAAATGAAAACTTATAAACTAATAAGAATACTAATAGTTTATTGCCATCTTATCAGATACACTGATCAAGGTATACTTTTGTCTCTTTACCTTTTAATTGGTTAATATTAATTGCTACAAAATTGTTTTCTATTCTTTTCAAGCTTTTGTCTATGAAAAGTATCCGTTGTCTGTATTAAATGACTATAATATTAAGATAACTGAATTCTCTAATGCCGAATCAGTCGTCGTCAGTGTGGATACTTGTAAAAGTATGTGCAATGCCTACAAGAAATGTTTGTAAGTTATGATCTTTTAATTTCAATGACAGCTATTGCATTGTGTAACATGCATTCAGATCGTTTGATTATAAATTCAGCCAGAGTCGATGCTTCCTTAATTCACAATCGAAAGATACTATGAAGATATCTTTTGTTACATCACACCTCTACGATTATTATCATAAAGTAACAAATACGAGTAAGTATAGGAGAAATGAGACACACTTACACACACACACACACTCTCTCTCTCTCTCTCTTTTCATTCATTTCATAAGCAAACTGTAGAAAATCAAGTTCAGCTTCCTATTGTAATATTAGTACTTTACTAATTGGTACACACACACACACACACATACACAACAAACTACAGCACTGATGTAATGACATGCTCGATGGTTTCTAATCGATCTTTTACTATACTGATATTATCATAAAAACCAGCGTTATTCCATGTAAATAGTTTTAATATTATTTAATTAAAGTCTCAGACCGAAACATATATTGTATAGACAGTATAAACTTATATACAGTATATACTGTTTATACAATATCTAGATATTTCATAACATTCTATATAAAATTGATTATTATTATTATTTATTATTGTTGTTGTTATTCGATCAATCGAACTGAGCATGTCTTTTATTTATTGGATTTATAACGAAAAGTATGTAAATCCTTACGAAAATAATGAAAAACTCTAGTTGATTTCTGGTTTCCGCTTATTTTGCTGATAGAAAAATGAATATGTTATTGAAATGTTTCAACTGCAAAATACTGTATAAATGAAGAAATAAATTGTTATTCTATCTGGAAATGAAAGTATCTACGTAATATACTTACGGAATGATGCTAATGGTGGAGAAGAACGTTCTGTTTACTTGCTTGTCCTCTATTCAGTTTTGGATTAGATGCAGTTAACAATTCAAAATAATAAACTATACAAGGAGTCTGAATACAAGTACAAGTTATTCAAAAAGAACAAACCTTATCCAATGACTTTTGATAAAGAATTGAGTGAATAAATGACCCTTAAGGTTAAATCGATCAAAAAAACATCCCATTACTTTAATATACAGTACTATAGTGTATAATTTATAAAAATTGTTCATTTCAATGTGAATTTTGACGTGATTATGAAGAGTTGAATGTTCATGATGATAGGCAAATGGATAGAGGGTCAAGTTCACTTACCGCATGTATCGTCAACTTTCTCGTAATAATTGTAAACTTGAGAATTAAGAGCATCGCTAACTCTTGACCATATTGTTTCATAGTTTAGATAACATTTACGTAGAGTCAAATGATAGTCAATCGATCTAAACGAGAAGGGAAAGAAAGAAAGACAATTCTTTATGATAAATTTTAAAAGTTTTCCAACAAACTTGCAATCTTTCAAACCGCTGCAAAGCTGTTTGCAGTAGGTAACATTAGTAATTATATTGGTAATTGAGGGTGAGTATCCAGGTATAAACAAGTTATAACCGAACAGATAAACATAACTAGTATATTTATAAGAACAAACTGAAAGTATAAAAGAATCAATTTGCTTTTTCTCATGGCATAACGAAAAAGGAAATTGTCAAACCTTCATTAGAAGACAACGATAGTGGAAACGATGATAATGTTAATAGTACAATTATACATAAATTCCTCATAGTTTCCATCCGAATAACGCTTTGTTATCATGCTAAAAATGTCAAATAAATCTAATGGCGAAAGTTCTTATATAATAAATATAACCCTGTACAGAGTTCGATATATCTATTACATCTTATGCTTAACGATTTTGAGATGGTAAAGAAATCTATAGGAATATTATCATCCCTTCTGTTATCATAGTCTCTATGGTAAACAATAGAAGAAACACGGAACGAGAAAACGAAAGAACTACCCTTTATTTTAATTGTTTTGCTAGTCTCTTTGGCTAGCGGAAGGTGAGCGTCTCTTTAAAATCGCTTTTTTGTCACCTCATCTTTTGAAAAGATGATCAATTTTGCGCATGTTTAAATAAAGGATCTCTATGGAATTAATTGCATTTACTTTATCTCCTCCTCCTCCTTCTTCCTCTTCTTCAATAGGAATTAATTGAGTAAAACTTGATTGATTTATGTCTTTTTCGTGATTTCAATGTCCTTTCTTAGAAGGTGAAGAATATAATAATACATCTCTCTACTATATGGTAAAACTGTTGAAAGCGTTTATTCGATATTGTGCAATACAACGTCAAAGCTTTTATTAAATTTCATTCAACCGCCCACACATAAATACAATAGTTGTTTTCTACTATTAAACTTTGCATAGACAGACTGCAATTATTATTCGTGATAATTTTACGTTTTTCTTCCATTCTATGCCCAGGGTTAATCGTGTTTATAAATAGATAAAGATATTGGCAATTAGCGTTTCAATTTTGAAAGGATAAATAACGATTGAATGATGAAAAGTTGTAGAACAATTAAATAGTAATACGGATGGATCGAAAAAGTCCTGTTCAACAATATTCTCGCAATAGTGTACTTTATTAACAGTGAGATTGTTGGTAAGAACAAGAAAGGATTCCCTAATAATTCCATAACCAGATATAACAATAAGAAATGATTGATAATTTATGAAATCGTTGGAAATTTCATTCAAAGAGATAGTTTTAGAAGAAAATGCACCTTGGCACGATGTGTTTTCATCTATAGAAAAGAAAAGGCAGTTGAAATGAAAAGAAACGTAACTATTCACATAAACTCTTACATTTTACCGCCATTTTGGATGTTGTCGGAAAGTCGACTTCACTGACATTTATATCGGTTTTTGCGTGTACTCTTATTAATTTTGAAAGGGTAACCGGAAAATAATAGCAACCGGTCATTGCCAATTCTAGTTCCTGATTAGATAAATAATGATTAATTGAATGACCAACGGAATTAACAACTTCAACTATAGCCACGTCGGAGTAGGATTGAGAGAGGGAAACTTGACGAAAGGAGGAGAGATATATTAGCTATTTCAAGCATATAATACAGATGTAAAAACAACGGTTTACCTGTTAAACAAACCGAATTGAATAGTAGAACTTTTGAAAAGTTGAATTCAAAAAATTGCAGTCTAGGTAAAGGTATAAATTCCGCATTGCCAAATAAGTAATAGATGGAATCGATTAGAACGAAAGTTGGAGATGATTGAATATTTGACGGAAAGATTTTAAAGTTCATTGAATTCTCTGAAAGATTTTCCAGTAAACTATTCAAACTATTGAAAAGTATTGATAGAATTGTTTTTTACCGCAATATGTACAAATATAAGAAGCTTTTTCGTAGAGGATGAGCTCTGAAAACTTTAATTCCACTGTACCGTCGTCGTCTTTAATTATCAATATAGAACTTCCGTATAGTTGTCGACTGCACGCAATAACGTTCGCTTGGTAATATTTGTAAAAATTTGATGAAAAATTTCTATAACAAAACTTGTCTCCTTCCGGCAGGAGCGTTTCCAGCGTGGATTGAACAGCTATGTTGATATTTTCAATATATCTCTTCGATAAACTCTCTGTTGTAGAACGTTAATACTTTGTCTGAAAAGGATAAATATGAAGAAAACCAAACTACAAACCATCTTCAGCAGAAATGATGATAAGTCCGTAGATAAGGCGGCTTTCGTGTAAATCAATCCTCAGAAATGGCCTCTTATAATTGAGATCGGTTGTTTTGGTGGAGAAGAATGATCCGTAAAACTTATCGAAGGCGTGTATCGTAGAAGAAGTTTTTCCTCCAAAAGCCACAAAATGCGGTTGATTGATAGAGGCAATATCTTTAATATACAATTATAAATAACACCCTTAACATAGTTGAATGAAACATTTGACTTACTAGAAGGCTTTTCCGATTGACCATTTACCGTTACACCGCATAGTATTAAATTCTTTCCCTCGTCCAAATGTTGTATTGTTAAAAAAGAACCTATTGAATCTTGTTGGCAGTTAAAACATATATATTCATTAGAATTTTGAGGCTCAGGGACAGTTCCAGAATATGTTGTGCATATATTAGACGTTTCAAGTGGAAAATTACCAACGCTTACTTGAAAATTACTTAGTTTATCATCTAAAAAATGTGGTAATTAAGATATAATTGAAAAAAAATCACAAGATTCCCTTATTGTTGTTTATTTACAATCGATTCCATTTGTATTTAAAAGGCATACGCTGGTTATCTCGTACTCTCTTTCCAAGTCGACAGACCACCATGATTTCAGATTAGGATGGGCTCCAGTTCTCGAACACTGTTTTTATGAATTTTTACTTATACACTGTATATATTGTATAGATAGATGTTGACTGAGATTTCTTATATAGTATGCCTGATAGGTTACTTTTATAAAAGTTGATAAACCGTCTACCGCTAAACTTGGACCGTCACTTGATTCTTTTATCATAATTGTTGATTGATAAGCTCTTTTGAATTTTGCCAAATCGTTTGTAGGAACTTGCTGAGAGGTGACTAAATGATGGGGAATATTTTGTTTATGATAGAAAGGAAGAAGAGAAAGGAGAGAAGGAATAGATAAAAACAAAGTAAAATGTTGGGCAAATATTTACCAAAGAGAAAACAGAGTAAAACCATTTCCAACATGGTGAAAGTGTTAATGATGGATGAGTAGAGTTTTACTGCGTTTAAATTAACCGTAATTTTAATAATATATAAGAATGAACAATAAAAAGAACGATTTATAGTTTCTAATAAATACAACTATTAATAAATTAAGGTAATTTATTCATAAAAATTCAAAAGAGTTCATTTTACGTTCAGGATTATCAAGACTTTTCATTCTTTTCTTTTTTTTTAATACTGAATATGATGATAGGTTTCATAGAAGATAAATAGAATCTCGCAAACATGTGAAGGTTCCATGGTGTAACGGTTAGCACTTTGGACTCTGAATCCAACGATCCGAGTTCAAATCTCGGTGGAACCTGAATCCGTTTTTTTTTTCTTTTTCATTTATTCTCCATTCAATACAGTAAAAAGTAAAAACCGAGACGTTTTACTTAATTGTTTATACTAGTTTATTAAGAATACTGTTAGCTGTTCTTTTCGTAGGTAACACTCGAATTTTGTCTATCGTAGCTGAGACTAGACTGACTGGACGACGACAGGCAAGAAGAATAGGAAGAGTATCCATAGTAAGAGTAATCGTTTAGACGAATAGACGACGTAGAGTCTTTTTTCGTGACGGGATAAACGTATTTTGCAATATAAATTAATAAACCAACCATAGTAATAATTACGAATGAACAAGGTAAAGCGAACGATAAGGCTATTAACGAATCGTTGAACAAATCCTCTTTAAGCGGCAGATCCAACCGATTAGTTGCTTTTATAAAAGATAAGGGTAAAAGCATCGTAAGTTATATAGTGTTAGATTGTAAAGATATATTAATACTACTCGAATTTGTCGTTGATTCAATCAATAGATGTTTACTATTCAAGAAATTTGTCCTATTCAAGCAAGAGTGAATTGAAGAAACGTATAGAAATCCACGTTGGCAAGTAATAGTACCATTCTCCAAGCATATCATATTATCCTTTTCTTTACCGTTACATTGGCAATGTTTGCCAAAGTTTGATTTGATTGTTTGAGAGCAAGAAAACTGGTAGGGAAAAAAATGAATGAAAAGATAAGCAAACGGCAACAAGATGAATTTGGTAGAGAGTTAAAAATAATTTGTATTTTACTTCAAATCGCAATGTAAATTCAAGTTTATCAAAGTCGCCTAAAATCACGATAATCGAATGATTCTTGATGTTTTTTATATATAATGTTTTATCGAAAGATTCGTAGAGAGTGAACAAAGATTGATTCTTGAATAGTTGAACTTCGGTACCCAAGTACATGAATTTTCTACTTCCAATATGAAATTTCATAGATTTAACGTCAACTGGTAGAAATTCTTTACTATTGTTCGAATTGCGATTGAATTGATAATCGTCGCAAACTATTTCGTATTTATTATGCAATCCAAAGCAAAATCTCGTATTGTTAAGACTGCAGTCGTCGTATTCCTTACACGATACTTTGTTTGTTAATTGAACGGATTGTATATAGATTGCGACGGTTAACTGCGATATTCTCGTATCAATACATTCCTCTTCGACATGCGTGTAAGGTTGATTAGTTAATTTACAGAGAACGGTACCATTTTTAAAGCAAATGTCAGTTTTCCTCCTTCTACCTTTACAGGTACAATAATCACCGAAATAGTTGTCTAAACAGGTAACCTAATAGGTAAGAAGACGTTGATTAAATGGACGAATTCTGATTGGAATGATAATTGAAAAATACCCGAAGAACCAATTCAAGAACGTAGTCTTCTTTAAAATAGAATGTAACATTCCTGCCCATATTCCTTTGCGATGATTTCTCAATTTCCGAATGTATGTTAATTTCGCCAACGAATTCATAAGGTCTAGTAATTCCGTTCATTGTAAATAAATATAAAAAGCACATATAGCCCACATAGGAAAATGTATTCTTTCTGTTCTCGTTGAAATATTTACCAGTTTTCTCATCAACAATCAACTTTGACTCCTTTGGATAATAGATGGTAAATAAATTTAGACCCTTTTGACTTAGGTATACTTCTATAATCAATGAAAAAGAAAGAGTAAAAAACAGTTTTTTTTAGTCATTGATATATTATCTAAATGGAAACCTTACTGTTAATATTACATTCTCGTTTATTTAGCCTATTTCCTTGAAAGACACATTAATAGAGTATTATGAACGATGCGTTTCTGTGCGTGTGTGTATATACCTGCAAAACAAGGTTTATCCACCCTAAACAGTCTCTTAAATTCAAATTCAATACGATAATTAGGTACGTTCCAATTAAGTCTATTAAGCGTTAACACTTGCAAGATAAACGTAACAATTAGACAACTGCCGTAGTAAACAAATAGAATCATTCGAAACTATTGATGACGATGTTTTCTATTCAATTGGATTACGCAATGGGTATTATTCATTTATAAGAAAGAGAGAGAGTGCGTGTGTGTGTGTGTGTGAGAGAGAGAGTGCGAACGATAAATTGAATAATTCAATAAGACTTTTTATTCAAATTGAAATTGATTTAAAGTTATTATTGAAAAAGAAGCAAGTATTTCGTCTAAATCAATAATTTCTTGATTATTAACCGATTCAATGAACAAATGTTGCGTTCCGTAAAATTGTTTATAATTTAACAATCCTTCGTGTACGATGTCGTGAATTTTCTCAAAAAGTACCGGCTGATCGGGATGGTAGGATCTGACGAGAATATTTCGAAAGATACCAAAGTTGTTAATCATTTCGTGTAGTTCGCTTTCATTAAGCTTTACAAATGGTAAAAAGCACAAATTACGTAATATATAAAACGGTATAATCGATCGATATCTTACAGTTGTAAAATCAACTTCGTCAATGAGCCGGTGTATAAGAGCTAGAACGTTACGAACAACTGAATTTTCTCCAACTAATCCGAATAGCATCGTAACTAGTTTCAGTTTATTTGCAACCTAAATTTGAAATTGTAAGATTAAAGGTAGAAAATAAAGAAAGAGAACAGATATAGGCTTACTAAATGAATTAAATCGTAAAAGTGGAGGAAAATCGATGATATAAGTCTAAATGGTAAAAAATCTTCGGCAGGCTCTTTTAAGTCGTAATATAATTCAATTATTTGGCAAGATATTTTAATAACTCTAATCCAATTTTGCCTATAGCCAGGTAGAATTCTCATCTTTTTAATTAATTCAAAAGCTTGAATGATAAAGAGGATGTTATTATCTCTAACCCAATGTTTAAAATTGATGGTTTTATGTTCGTCAATAATAGCTAATAGAATCTGTAAGGATGAATAATAGTTAGAATGAATATTGTACAACGGATAAAAAGTATGTCAAGTTAACCCTCCATAGTTCGTCCATATTTAAAGAATTGAAATATTCTACTCTATCAGGCTTTTTCATACGTTTAATTTCAATTGAAAATACGTGAAATAGAGCCATTGTTTGATCGTTGAAAACTTCAAAAATATAGGTGGAATAAGGCGAAAAGAATACATTGATTATTTCAGATAATTTGTTCTGAAAAGAGAATAGAACACCGTTTGATCGAGTGATTGATTGGCTGAGAGGAATAGCTTACCGAATAGCAGGAAGCGTATATAACATTTGAAATGCTACCGAGTTCGTTCAAGTGTTTAGTAACATTATTCACGTCGAGTCCAAAGAATTTCAAGTTTGGATGATTGTCTATAAATCTCCTGTGGAAAGTAAAAGAGATAGATAAGATATAGAAGGAGGAGAGGAGAGAAACCTTAAAATATTCAAATCGACATCACCATATTCGGAAATACTAATACTTTGTAAATCGTTCCATTGAGCCTGCTGCAGGAAATGATATAACCATTCGCAAAATGCCTTATCGACCGAATTAGCTTCGTAATCTCCAAGGCACATTCCAATGTTGATTATCTGAAGATGTTTCAAGTACAATAGATTTGTATATTCGTTCCAATTCAACAAAGATCTCCTTGTACAGAATTTAAATACTTTTAATCTTTCCAATTTCGTTAAACAACCTAAACATTTAACTAATGTTCCTGATATATCTAATTCCTCTAAATTAACGTATTCGTTACAAACAACTTTGAAGTGAGCATCTTCGAAATCCGTATAGCTGACATCTAATTTAATTAGACTATTAAATCCTCCTAGATAGTCGGCTTGCGTTGGTAGACTCTTTGGGTATAAATCAACTTCTACCTCTGAAAATTGACAACCGGAAACGCTTAAAGTTTCTAATGTCTCTTTATTAACGTAATTTAACCATTCGGCTATAGTTAATTGTTGTAAATTTCTAATTATTAAATTCTTTATAGGATGATATTTGAGGAAACGTAGAGATGATTTATGCTTTATTCTACGGCCGTATAATCGTACGTTCTGTAGTAATTTTCCATTGGAAGAAAAGAATTCTAAATATTCTTCTTTTATGCCGAAATCTTTCTCTTCCAAACATTCGAATATTTTCTCTGAAATTCCATGAGGTAAAGTTGCATTTGTCCTATTTACAAACTCTATTATAATGTCAATATTCTTTGCTATATAATCCAAACAGATGTCCTTTAGTCTATTCTCCTCCATCAATTTTCTCCTTACAGAGGAACACTTCTCCCTTTGACTAGTAGACGATGTTAACATTTACAAAACAAGCTCTCGAAATGTACTCCTACTCTTCGCGTTGCAGTGTCCACAACCTGCTATGGTGAAAAGTTCAAAAGTTTATAGAAAATTAAGCCTAGATGAGTTTGGTTGGATAGAGAGAGAGAGAGAGAGAGCGGTGGGGGGGGGAGATAAACACGGAGAGAGAGAGAGAGAGAGAGAGAGAGGAAGGAAGAATCATACCGTAATACAATAGAATAGAAATTCGATTCTTACATAATAAAAAGTATCAAAAAACTTGTTGATTGTTCTACTTGAAATTCGTTTAGTTAACATAGATATAAGTGTATATCAAAATAGCGGATCCCATTCTAAAAGTCTTTCGACTTTCTTTCAACGCATAAGAAGATTACAAACAAAAAAAAAGCAACAGTATTTTTTGGACACTGCATAAAAAAAAGAGTTTCTCTATCCGAATGCATTTCGATTAGGAGGAAAACAAAAATAGTTCTACAGCGATGAAGAGGATTTCAGTTCATTTCATCGCCTTAACATGTTATTGATTTTATTTACCAATTAACTACTTTTATTAATAATGTTCAGTTTACAAGAATTAATTCTACGTTCAATCGATTTTGATGGAAGTAAAGGGTTAGGGAAATATTTTAAAAACGATAAAACTATTCCTCACGGCCTAGCCGAAGAAATTTTACAATATTTCAATAATAAACATATTGGTGTGTCTAAGGAACATTTGAAATATTTCACATTTGAAAAGACTACTTTAACTTGCATTAAACTGAACGGATGTAGAATTTACGATGAATTGTCTTTTATCAATTTCGTCAAAAATCATCCATTAAAAGTAATTGAAATGAATAATTTGAAAATCGATTTAAAACAATGGATTGGAAATATTAATACCAGTTTTCTTGAGGAATTAACAATATCTAATTGTAGATTATATAGAGAAAGTTATAATTTTCAATATTCCGATATACTTGAACGGATTGAAGATTTGCAGAATTTCAAAAATCTCTTAAAATTGGACGTTAGCTATACTCTATTCACAAATGAATGTTTATTGTTCATTTCCAATGAATTATCCCAATTAGAGAATTTGGATATTTCGTATACTCTTGTCGATACAATACATCCAATTAAAAAACTTGAAAGCTTAACAAATTTTACATTCATTTCTCAAAAAGAATCGTGGAAATTTGATGAAATTCAATATTTAAAAGAGTTTGAACATCTGAAAGAAATATCTGTTGGTAATAATCATTCAATTCACAATTGCCGATTGTGTAAATGGTTTGAAAATTTCTTGGATAACAATCAATTCAAAGCGTTGGAATCATTGGTAATTGGTGAAATTCAACACGTTGAAATTGCCGTATTAAGGTAGAGACGAGAAACAAGACGAGAATAAAATACCATGTGTATTTCAATTCTTTCGTTATTATTCTTATTCTTATTCTTTACAGTAAATTCATTAAAAATCATGAAAGATTGAAATATTTCGCCATCGATTTAGACGTTAGAGAAAATAATTTGGCGGATTTAATGGAAAATCGTCTAAACGTTATCTATCCTTTAAGAATTACAGTAAGTTTCAAGTGTATTTTTCGAATGGCAAAAGTATTAGATTTTCTTATACAATTAGCTAAAAGACGACAGATATTTCCAATTGTTCTTCCCTAAAAGTTCAAATATAGTATTTAAAAGATTCTACGATCTTGCAATAAAGAGTTTGGAATTGTTGAAAAAGGAAATAAATGAATGTCGAGAGATCGATAAGAGAAGAATGTATATGATGAGGTTGGACATTGAAAGATTGTGGCAGGTAATGTATACAATATAGAAAGATAATAAGTGTTAGGAATGCGTTGTCATATCAACAGAAACTATTTGATATTATTGATTATCACAAGATGTATTTTGAGATGTTCGAATCGGATGAATTCTGTATTTATATTCTATACATTTGCTTTAGTATTATAAAAAAGTTGAAGATATTGAATGGCTATGAAAGATTTTGGGTGAAAAGCGTCGAATCTTGTTGTAAGTTTATTCTACTTTATAGAAAAATGGGTGGAATTTATGAAAATTTCTCCTACCTACTCAAAAAACTGTGTTCGATTGTCCTGCTAAAATACAAATTATTGAAGATGGTAACATTTTAAATTAGTTGAATATCTTTCATTAATTTTTCCATTAATCATTCGATTGTCTATATTCTAAAATAGAAAGAAAAGATAAAGCTATCTATAGCTTTACTTGTATTCGTAAAATTCGATCCGGACGCCAACAATGCTTTCGTTTTACTAGAGACAATGCTAAATGATATAACATTCCAGACGGTAGATTAGATTTCTATATTTGGAAGTAATTATAAATGTTTTATTTATTGAAATAGTTAACGGAGAATCAGTTGTTTAAATGCGTTGAAAATACTTTTCAAATGTTGACCTGCAACTATTCTGGCGGTTTAATCAACTACTTTGATTCGAATCAAGATTCCAAGCTTAAAAAGATATATCGTTTAATTGTTTCCGGTTTAAACCACTATAAGACTGTAAAAGGCACAAATACCGTTCACTTTTCGCGTAAAAACTATAAAGTTTGCATGCATTTGGACGAGGAGCTGAAAAGGTTGAACGATTGGAAATTTAGAATCTGAGTTATTATTCAATTAACCTGTTTGTCTGTCGTTTTTCAACCATTAATAGGCTCAGCATTACATTCAAACTGCGATGATAGTCTGCAAGCCTAACGTATTATTTATACTTGAAAATAAGCCAAACATATTTGTTTGTTTGTTTGTTTGTTTGTTTGTAAAGACATTTTTAAATAATAAAATATTCTATGTTACCTACAAATCGAGATGAAGACGATGTTGATGATGATGAACAAACAACAGTCAAGTATCAAAATACTATTACCAGTTATTTTCTTAATTGTCAAAATTCCCAGACTATTCATTAATGCGTTGTCATCTGCCATCGATGCCTTAAAAATGCATAAAGGTGATTGATAGTTAAATCCTTCGCAGTTGGTCAAAGTATTGCAATGGCTGATACAGTCGTTGTAATTTGTAGAAGACATAGTGCCCAGAACACTACCAGGAGAGGATTTACCTTCAAACACTTTGTATCCGTTTATTATATCTATGGAGAAAATTTTGAAATAATCTAGTGGAAGAAGGGTTAGTTTTTTACTGACAACTCGCCGTGTGAACTGAAGAGAGAACTTGAAGGATTGTAGCGTAAACTAGAAGATAATTATCTGATACGGAATAGCAGAGTGAAAGCATGACGACGAACGATCAGCGAATGGAGAAAATGCTAAGTGTGTTTGTCTCTTCTAATAGATAATTCTCCCAGCAAACTATTGAATAAACAACTGTGCCATTCGTTTATATAAATTAAGATATAAATATCAATTTCTCATCGCTTTTCGCAATATTTCAAATCGATAACAAAAGAAATAGTGGAACTCTTTAAACAGGCTGAAGGGTTGAATAAATAATGCTATTTCTTTTGTCCATATACTACTTAAAAAGGGTGGAATGTTTTTCAATTGAGAAATTATTAATGAACTTGATGAGAACGAGGGAATATATATATATACAATATATACATTATATAAACGACGGTTAGGGTTAAAGGTTAGATTCATCTCCAATCGTAGTTTAATGCAATAAGTGGTACATTCTTCAACGTTGTCATGCACTTACTCAAGAAACCTATTTAAACTATTCCAAGGAAAAAAGTGTTGTACATCTATTACGCATTCATACTGTATAATTTATACAGGTGATGGGGGAACACTGATGGACATTATGGGAATTGAAGTCTCTCTATGAAAGAGACTACGTGGAGAAAATGTTATTGCTGTTGAATACTCTAGTGATTAGGTAATCTTTCCAATTGTAAAAAGATGTGAAAGTATTCAGTAATCAACTTTTTTATACAAGTTTGATCTAGGATTTGACTAAACAATAAGATATAACTAGCTCGATGAGAATTCAATTAGATATCGATATTTTATGATGGATTGGAGGCTTTTCTTTGAAATACTTTACAAGATGTTTACAAGGACATTGATCATTGATGACCATTCTTCTTTTAGGCTTGTATTTGTCTTTAACCTCTTGTCTATAGCCATCATCTTCCTGCCAATATAATACAAAAGACAAAATCCGTTAAAAGCTTCTGAAAGTAGGGTGAAAAGCGTTTGAAAAAGTATAAAGTGTCAATAGACGTTGCAAAATACTCACTTGATCAGGTGGTTCATGTAAACAGACCGATCAAGCAAATTATATAGTCGATCATGCGCATTAGTCAATTAAATGCTCATATGATGATTTGTTATATGAAATTCTTTGTTGTTGAAAGAAACTAAAGGGAAGTTCTCTTAAAATGAATTCAGCTAAAGATACGATAAACAGCATTTCAAAAGCTAAAAAGTTTGCTTAGGTTCCACCGAGATTTGAACTCGGATCGTTGGATTCAGAGTCCAAAGTGCTAACCGTTACACCATGGAACCTTATTGATTGGTAGATTGATTTTAGTTCTTAGGTTTTTTAACCCTCCAAGTTGATTTAAGGCTCTTTGTAATAACTATTCCAAAGCCCATATTCCAAAAGTGATACAGTATTGTTCTGAAAAGACACTACAGTATCCGTTTCAATTCTTCGATTCTTAATCCAGAAGGAGAAATAGATAAACTGTTATTTATTCATCATTCATTCATTCATTCATTTTCATTTTATCCAAGCATTATTAATTATTTATGTAAGAGTTCGTTCAATCATATCATAAAACAAGGTCAAAAAATGTATAAAACGATATATTGTATATAGTTATAGTTATTATGGATAAACGATTATAATATAATTGCTATCTTTTCTCTAACCCAGACAAAAACAAGGAGCAATTTAAAAATTAGTTTTGAAATTATTCACTCTGATTTATCAGCCAATCAGTAACTGTTAGAGTTAGGATGAGCAATATCAATCGAATTCTATCAATATCAGGTCCTTGTTAACTTTTCAACTGATTTATCTAATAAGATATATTCGAAAACGGTTTTATCAGGGTTAGGAAAGAAAACTGGGAAGAGTGGGAATTCTCTTGAACACGAATTGATTATTGAAAGAGTTTTATCGCTTAAGAGAAAAAGATTCAGGTTGCTGATTTGAACTCGGATCGTTGGGTGTAAAAGTCGAAAGCGCTAGCCGTAACACCATAGGAGCCAAGTCGTTAATAAAATTGTTCTCTCCAAATAGAATAGCTATATATTTAAGTTGTAGAAATAAAAATAGAAAGAGAATAGAGACTGTTGAACAACAATAATCTGTTAATTCAATAGATCTTTATCCGTATAATATTTTTCGAATAGCACACTTTTCTCTAAAATATTATGAATAGATTTAGGAATGGGAATACTAAAAGAAGGATTATCTATTAATTTTATAAGATAATCTTCAATTATAACCGACAAATGACTGTTTATACCGGTGAAAACTATTTCTATTATTTCTCTTATTGAATTTCTACATTTTCCAAAGTAAAGTTGATTTTCCGCCGAAGTAAAGTAGACGAGATATTCTTTGAAATGAAGTAAAAAGTCCTCGAGTTGATTATTCGATAACTGTAGTAAGGAAAAACGTAAAGATAGAATAACAGAGAGCTTTCAAGCTTAAAACCTCTTCGAATTGAATCCGTCTTAGCACTTCTTTGAGTAAATGAATAAAGCTGGTTAGATAGGTCTTTTTACTAAATTCTGGATGAACGTCGGCGTAGAGAATTGATCCTGGTATTTCAAATTTAATGATATTAAATCCAGGTATAATCTTCATAAGAGAAATTGAAAAATCAAAAGAGTTGACTATCTGCAATAGGGAAACATTTAGCAAACGATTTACAAACAATCTGTTATTCACCCAGAAAATGTTTGCAATGTTTCTATGCAATAATAAGAAAATCTGCTCCATTATTTCGTGGTAATTGTACGTAACGCCGGCGTCCGGATCCTTCCAACTCTTTGGATATTCCTTAATCACTTGACTACAAATCTGATAGATAATCAGTATATTCCTGCAGAAATTCGGTAATGTTAGATGGCAAAATATCCATATTATTTTACAAAAGATAAGATTATAGATGATATTTTGAAATTTTTCATGGATAATCTTGAATTTATACTCGTCCAGCGTATCGACTAGAATCTAAAGAGAATAACAATAAATAAACAAATAAATAAATAAATAAAGCGTCTCTTTGAATAGATTTCTTGCCTGAAACAGAGTTGGATCATTTTGAATTTCGTTCAAAAATTTCGGTTCATTCTTTATGATTTCCTTATTTAATCTTTTAAAGATTTTAATTAAAAAATCGCCAACTTCGTAATTTAATTTCTTGAGATATTTCAAATTTGTCATTGTGTCCTTTTGATCGTTGTCCGTTGAATTCTGTTTATTTATTAATTAACCGTTTTTATTTTACATTGTTTTGAATTGTAGTTGTTTTGTTTGAAAATGGATTTTACTACATTTCTATGGATAATATCGCTGTTAAATGTCAACTCTCGTTCCAGCCTACTAGACGGATCTTTGCCGAAAATCAACAGACTCTTCAAACTGGGATGGTTTTTAATGAAAATTCTGTTGAGGAGTGGCAAATGAATTATATTCTCGATCTATTGACGATAGTGTGTTTATGGAATACTTAAGCGTTTGGTCTGAAATCTTCCAGTCTCCGGACAAATTAAGGCATGATAAACACTCCCATAAAGCAGACTTTAGGAATAAGTCGGTATTCAAGTTGGCCGAAACTGTATATAATTTGGATATGTCCAAATAGTTCAAAAGCTTTAGCTGGTGCAATATGCAAAATGAATCGTAGCAAGATCCGCAAAAGATCCACGAACAATCGAGATAATTTAAATTTTGTAATTTAGTTAGAGGTGAAAGGTCATCGACAAAAGTTTTAGATATATTCAAGTGTTGAAGTAAGGAGAACTCGTTGCAAATTACCAATAGGTGACTACTAGTAAAATCCGTTGAGCAGACGCTTAATTTCGTAATGCTCTTAAATGATTTTAAGCTGTTTAAAAAATAATTTATATCATGATTTCTCTCCTCTAAAGACGGTCTTAGCACTCTTTTCTTTTGACCTAATTTATTAAAAGAACACTCAACAATAGATAACTCCTCTAGGCAATTAGACTCGACAAAGGGTAGCCAATCCATTACGTCATAATCTTTTAGTCCTTCTAAATAGAGAGTTCTCAACTGATGACCTTGAAGAAATGACATGGAAGAGATGTTATTAATTTTATAGCAATGTAATCTGATACTTCTAAGATAGCTTTTATCGTTGGAGAAGAATTTCAAATATGTCTCTTCTATTCCAATGCTTCCCCTATCCAAACAGGTTAATAAATCTTCAGAAATCGAAAGTGGAAATGTCTGCTCCTTGAGAAAAACATCCCTAAAGATTAAATGGCTATTTTTCGCAATGGAGAGTAGTGTAATTTCTTTTAAGGAGAGCAGCATTTGAGTCTCTATTAATCACAGGCCAAAAAGAAACGAACAAGAAATATCATCTAGAAGAACATTAAAACAACAACAATAACAACACCACCAAAAGATTCTTTAAGCAATATGACATTTTATATGAAAAAGTTAATCGGTGAGTCAGAGAGTTATTGATTTTTTTTTGCTATATTATCGTTACTATTATAGAATAGGAGACGAGAAATCAATTTCTACAAGGAAATTACGCTAAGACTATAAAATAGGAGAATGCAAGGTGAAAGTTGCCTTTTTTTTGTTTTTAAAGAAGAAGAAGAAGAAGAAGAAGAAGAAGAAAAAGAACTTTCTCTTTGAATAATATTACCTTTCGTTAATCAGTCATAGGTGACATTGTAATTAACTTTTTTGGGAGGTGTTTCTTAATAAAACGATTGATTTTCTGCCCTTAATTGATGCTTTTCTTTTATTAATGCTATTAATATTATTATTAAAACTATTATTTATTTATAATTTATATACTGTATTAAAAGATTTTCCCTCTATTGTAAGACGTCTACTCGACGTCTACACAGTGGAAAAATAGAGAAAATACATGAAATTCTCTATTAATAACCCTGGAAAAAATTCAGTCGGTGTTTATTCTGGGCGAGAGTTTAATAATGCAGAAAATGATTATTTATCTTGGTTAAAAGCTTTAAAGACTCCATTAACAGTTGAAAAATCTATGAGCAGTGTTTAGCAGATTATAATACTGTATATATGGGTGTTTACCATTAAGTCCAATAAAAAATGTATAAAGGATACTACACATTAAATGGAGATTTAATATTCTCCTTACATTTGATGCTAAACAATCCTTTCTTACAAAATCATGAACAATACTTCTTTCGTATCCAGTGGTTCCTTCTCCGGAGGTGATGATATACTCATAGGTGTGATATACCTGATATTAGTTATTTGCAGTACAACGTTTAACGGATTTGTTCTATATCTCTATATAAAATTCGCCAACGTCCGACATTCAACAATTATATTTATTCCTGGCGTGGCAATATGCGATCTTTTTATATCGATATGGAGTCCAACCGCCGAGTTTCTAAAAAGCATAGTTACGAAGCCGAGTACCTTTCCACTCTGGTGCTTGTTAACGCATCTATTGCAGCATATCGCTTACCTGCAATCGCAGTATTTTCTATTATTCGTATTCATATATAGATATATAATGATTAAATACCCATTTCACTTTGAAAAGTATTTTCGTACGAAAACAACTGTTCTAATTATATCTATGGTTGTTATTTTATCGTTTGCCATTGGTTTTTATCCTTATTACGCGGCTGTTATGGGAAGACGTTATATTGTACTTTGTAATGGCTATATGAATTACGAGTTTTACTATGTCTTTATCAATATGGGATTCTTCCTACCAACAGTCGTTACATCGTTATTTTTGCATATAAACATTCTAAAAATAGCTAAAAAGCACGCAATTCAAATTGAAAGTCAGACTAAAAAGATGAAGAACATCTCGAAATCGTCTAAAGCAACTCTATTACAATTGATATTAATGTTATGTTTATGGACGATCTATTGTATAGGAATAGTGTTTCTGTTAACCGAACCAAATAATTTTAGTATTCAAATATCCATATCTATTGAATATTTCATACTTTGTCAAAGTTTCATTAATCCAATTATAACAATTATTGGTAATTCATCAATAAAAAAAGCGTTTCTAACTACTTTAAAACGGATAACGACGAAGAGGAAAAGGTCAATATCACCACTGCAATCACTGCAATAAATTTTTCAATTTTTTCAACCTTTAATCAATACAATAACGAATTAATATCGTATATTTCTGATTAGGCAAGTCATGTAGGTGTCGCCTCCTATGGGTTAGTTGGTAAAAGATTTTCGTTCAGCCAAACAATGATTTTGGGCTACTTTCTTATTCTTTGTTCAATACTTCATGTTGTTATGAAGATTGTTAAAGATATAGTTGAATTTATAGAATAGCCTCTTGTAGGATAGATTTTTAAAAGAAATCAATCCGCAATCCTTCTCTTCTCCATAGTTGATGACTTACTTCAAGAGTCTGACGACAACAATCATTAGGAATATCCGAAAGACACGTCAAAATTCTTTACAATAACAAATTGTTTTGTATTGATAAGAATTATATAAATTACACTATAGATAGCTATTGAAAATATCTTTTAGCGTCCTTTCTCCAAGATCATCAGCCGCAATCCACCAACATTCATTACCTGACAGACTATGATCTATGAGAGATTGTTTAAAGTTTATCTACAAGACCTATCAATTGGCAGTCGCGTGCCGTCTTTTTAATATTTTCAAGCCACGAATAGAGTTGGCTGAATAAGAGATTTCTTATTAAGTGATGTAATAAATAAATAAATGAATACTAGTATTAATAGACAGCTGTCCTATTCAATGGCTTCCACCCTTCCAATAGACAATCTAGCCGACATTACCTCCAGGCAATAGCTATTATTCCAATAGATCTAAATAGAAATGAAGAGTGTATACGTTTCTGGGAAAGGAGGGAAATATATTCCATTTTGCGTTAATTATCTGAGGTCATAGGTCAATTGATAATACGTGCTTAATCTATTAAGTGAAAGAATAACAACCGACAGCCATACGGAAGGTGGCAGGTTAACTTTTACCCTTTTATAATTATTAGCACAGCTGTAGCTTGAATGTAAAAAGTGTGACGTCAGAAAGGTGATTAATTGAATATTGGCGATATATTAGTATATCTTTCTTTCGTCGTCCAGTCAGTTTCCTTTCATTCGATAATAGTTTTTAACGATGGATTAAGTACCGTTAGATTTACTATTAATACTAATCTATTCAGTTTATATAATATATTCAATTAATTAAAATTAATTCATAAAATAATAATTCAAGGAAATATCAACAAACGAGTTATCTATTCATTTATTCATTCATTCATTCATTCATTCACCCATTTAATCAATTAATCAATCAATCAACTAATCATGTATGAATTCTAATACGCCCCATTCAATCTGTAAACAAATAAACAAAACAAAAACATGTATATCAACGACAATAGGCTATGCTGACCAATTATATATACATATATATATAAAGTAGAGAGAAAACACGAGCTAATAAGATGCAAATTTATTCATGAAATTCATTTCCAGGTTAGATGTTTATAGTTACAAACTGCCAGCTGGAGGAGTAAATATTAATACACAAAAAATTTTTTCTCGATTAAAGCGTTTAAAGAACGTTTATGGAATTGATAATATTCGATTAACTTTGTAAATAAATGTCTAAACGACATGGAACACCATTGATAGAGGTAACGTTTAATGCTGATTTTCTTTCGTGAGAGATGCTAATATGCTCAAGATTTCGCTGAGCGATAATAAAGTATTTCATACGCAATTCGGTAAATTATTGCGAAATAATTAAGTATAGTTAGACTAATTTAAAATAGAACTATTACGTAATATGTCACAAATGTAAAAAATATGAAATTTGATGGAAATAATATTAATATCGATAGATGGCGTTGTAGTCATTGTTACGAAAATTTCAATACTAATCAATACTTAACCGGCCTATAGAGAACGGCTACACATGATTAAGGACATTTAAATCGAAAGAACAAGTATGTTCTCTCTAAAAGAAATTGCCCTTCAAGTACTCATCAGAGAACCGGAAGTACTGTTTAAACTCCCAGTGAAAAAGACGAAATCAATTTATCTACCTATGATAATAGCCGATGAGATACTGCAAAGACTAGACCATTTGGATGTTGGAATTGCAGCGAAATATTTGAAATTCTTTTCCTCGAATTGTTGCATATTGAAGAACGTAGCCATTCACGGAAATAGAATAAAGAAGGCTTCCCTTTTATCTTTTTTAAGAGGTCATCGTCTTGAATCGTTAAGCGTTCATCATTTAACAACGTTCGATGTAAAATTTTGGTTGACCTTTGCCGAAAAAGAACACTTAAAAGAGTTGAGTTTGAAGGGGTGCGAAATCAAGAAGGGAAGTTCAATAATGGTACCATTTCTAGATTACGAGGCTACCCAACAGGAGGAATGGCTATGCATTTTACAATTAAAAAATCTAGTTAAATTGGACCTAAGTAGGACAAAAGTTGGTGATGTATTCGTTGAAAGTTTAAGCCGCCATCTTTATCAATTAGAAGAAATTAACATGTCTCAAACTCATCTAAAAAATTTATATCTTTTCAATTCTTTCAAGAGTTTACATTCTCTTGATTGTTCCAATTGTGATGTATCAGGAGGATTACATAGATTTCATAAAAAACTCAAAAGATTCGATATGTCGCACTTTCCAGCTCACACGTTGAACGATTATCCAGTTTACAATTTTATAAAAAATGTCGATTGGCCTCAATTGACTTATTTCGACGTTACGTGTTGCGGTAATATACCCGGAGATATTCTTATGTTTGTATTATTATTACTTATATACTGTATATATCTATATATATTATGATTATGATGATTATTATTGCGTAATCTTTAGTTGAATCTTTTGCTCATCCATGGTTTTGCTTTTTGTTTTTTCTATTTTGCATTTTATCTGTTTGTTTTCCTCCTTTTATATATCTATTTCCTATTTCCTCTCTCTCTCTCTCCCTCCCTCCCTCCCTCCTTCCCTCCCTCCCTCACTCACTCACTCCTCGCCTCTAACTCGCTTATTCATTTCTCTCCTCTCTTATTCATCTATCTCTTCTCTCTCTCTCTCTCTTCATTTTCTCTATCTTTTCTTTTTCACCTACAGACCTTTCATTAAACGTCATCCAAAATTAAAATTTCTTGGTGTTCTACAATGCAATTTCGATGACGTCATCCAAAATCATCAACAAGAATTAAATTCTATTAATAATCGTAATCTTGTAATAGTAAGTTTACTTTTTCATTGTTACTTAATTAGCATATTTGAATATTAATTAAATTAATTAATACTTGTTATTGTTTTTGTTTATTTTTTTAGCTTGCCGAGAATACGGATTGGGTTAAAGCTCTGAATTACGTAAGAATAAATAGAACCCGCGATGAAGCATTAGTTGATTACGTAAACTTTTATATAAAAACGAAATTATCGATAAGAAGTTATAATTCGCCATTTTTGAAAAAATCCAATCTGGAAGAATACTTAACGGTTTGAAGAGAAACTTTTTTTCCTTTTTCCTTTATGCAAATTAGCTTTTATGAATATTTAATTATTCAGATACTAAACGATGTTTTGGATCATTATAAATTCAGCGCCATCTATCAATACGGAGAATACTATAATCCTTATTTACACGCTATCAGATTCATTTGTTGCAAATTGGAGGATATTTTCTATTCAGGATTAGTTGAATATCCGTGTCCAATAGAATTTAAATATAGAACTTTTGTTTCGTGCTATAAAATCTACAAAAAGTTCTTTAAGCGTCGATATTCACCCGATAAAGTGATCACTCTGATGAGACTCTGTATAGAAGGACGTTATATGGTCTGTTTTTTCGTTTTATTTTATTAGACTGGTTAACTGGTTGCCTTAATTATTAATTCATATTTTATGATTTTATTACGAAATAGGTTGATAAGAAATTACAGTTTGTTTTTGATTTGTTTCATTCGGCCGTTATACCGAAATTGATGGAGGATAGTTGTTTTATTCTACTACACGTTCTAGACGATATAGACTTTGATGAAGTATATACCTAATTAATAGTGTTGAATATGTAAATTTATTCATATTTTGTTTATGAAACTTAGCTGACAGATTTTGAAGTTTTGGATTTTGATTCTCATTTTACAAAGTTTAAACAAACTTCAGAAGAAATTATAGTAAATTTAAAAGATCGAATTACGGAGACTGCTGTGGTTATGGTTGAAAAATTGAATACTCGATGCTCCAAGTATCTTGAATTAAGGCCCGCTAGTAAACGACGTCTAAGAAAACGGTAAGCGACGCTAAGCGGCGTTTGTTAGTTTATTTGTCTAATTCTCTCTTTTCCTCTCAAAGGGCGTACAGACACATATCCGGTGATTAATCGCTTTAATATAAAAAGAAGGAAACGTTCAAAAAGCAGAATATCATAACGATTATCATAAAAATAGTAATAAAAACTATTAATATATTTTTCAACATTCAAACTTGAAATGGTTAAACAAAAAATGGAAAGTGTAAAGTTTAATATTTGGGTGAATAATTAATGAAAATTGTTTGTTAAAAAAAAAAGAAATAATTGCAAATTATTTAGTATTCTTGTATTAAAATCTCTATCGATTATTAATAATAAAAAAACAATTCATATTATGTATAAAGTAAAGTATTACGCAAAACTGTAAAGAAAATGTCAAATAAAGTATTACTTGTTCAATTGGACACGAAAATGTGGAGCAGAAGCGGGAGGATGGTGGGAGGAAGGAGAAGAGAAGAGGGAAACACCACTGTTGAAATTATGTGCTATAAAAACATAAAAAAATAATTAAATACATTTATCTTTCAATAAAAGACATACCAAAAGAGTCTATGCAAATGTATAGTACATTTTAACCTTTGTAGAGAGGAATCGGAAAGGGGGGAACCTTATTTTAATAAAACTTTTAGCTTTAGATATATGCAGTGTACACAATATATATTCTTATTACGTCATTCTTTGCATAATGCACACTTTCCCTTGACAGATTCAATTTATCCACAGATGGAATAGAAGAAATGGCGTCTAATTTCTCATCTAGAAAATTGCAGAGTAATAAGAGGGAATTCTAGCTGTAATAAAAACTCTATACAAGATATAAGTGTTTTTATATGATAAGAAATTTCTTAATAATTAAAAAAGAATTTTTAATAAAGGATAATTAACTCTCTCTCTTCTTCTCTCTTTCCTCTCTTTCGTCTTTACCACTAAAGCCCTGTATTGTAATTATTTTTCTAATTTAATCTTCTGACGTCCTATTTACCTTTTCTCACTGAAATCAAACATATGTAAATAAAATAAAGAAACTAATTGAACAGTTAGCAGTTCTTTTATACTGTATAGTAATTGAGAAATTCAATTCGAATTTCCAACTGTAATTGCATTCATTTGCATAAATTATTCAATAATTCAAAAATATTGAATATTGGTTGGATTAAAGCTTTTTTTTTTATAGTGTTGACGCCTATTATGTTTTTTTCTTTCCTATTTGATAAACCTGCAATTTTCACCAATTCGACTTGCGCTCTTAATATCTGCTAGAGGGTGCTTGTATCGACGAGTCTATTCGTCCTCGTGAAACTCTATCCGAAGACTCAAAAGCATATCTGACGTTGCAGATGCAGGCGCTACAGCAGTGTCAACTGTAGTAACTAGCGTTGCTAATTATTAAAAGTAGCTAAGCTTGCTTGGTTAGTTCCTGTAAACAATGAATATATCGCAGAATAAATAACATCCTTGACCTATATTAATAAAAATTTTCAGTAGTTTCTGAAAAAAAGCTAGTTGGCGGCAAAGCTTACTTATTGCACGTACGTTCCGTATAAGAACTGATTATTAAAGACAATTACAAAGTTATAGACGCATGATATACAGTATATAACTCTTCTTTCATATATACTGTATAGCAATGCAGTATATAGAAAGTTTTCTTTACTATTTTTACATAGAGATATGGTAAATTTATTGGCTAGTTATTTTTATAAGCATTAAACTTTCTATTTTTAACTCTATCCTTACTTTGGAGAAGAAAAGAAGGAATTAAGTATATTTTCATATATTCTATACAGAAAATATGGTTTTATTCTATTTATATATCTTTCTTTCAACACCTTCTATATATACTCTTCTAGTTATTCTTTTGCCAAAATCAACAGTCTAATATCAATTAAGCCCGCACCGCTATGCGAATAATTGTACCTATATCTGCAAAAAATGTACAGCAAATCTATATTTACTCACCAGATGGAGTTACAATACTAGAAAAGGAAACTATCCCGTCCATTATAAACAATGGTTATTATTTTATTGATAATCTTCAGAAAAGGATGAGAAGTAGGTCGAATGATGTAAAATGTAACTAATTAGATTATAAATAGATTATTTCATTAATCTTTTAAATTTTGTATATTAAAGAATCGTAACATCATTAAGTACTATTATCCAATCAGAGAAGACAGAGAGAGAGAGAGAGACAGACCAACGGAAACAAAAGGATTTAAAGAGAATTATTCACGAATCTAGTATAATTTAAACATTGTGAATAAACAAGAACTCGTTTCGTAACCAAGATGGATTCAATTTGAATTGATATTTAGACTTTGGCGTCTTAATGTCTTCCCTCTCACACACAAAAATGTACAAGTATTTCTACTTTGTTTGTTTGTTTGTTTGCTTGTTTGTTTCAAATTCATCATTATTCTTAATCTATTAATTACTTTACAGTTTGAAAACTTGTAGAGAGATAAGACTATTTGAATAAACATTTGATGTAGTTTTTTTTTCAGGTATTACTGATTTTTTGAACAATTACTCTGAATAGTACCGTTACTCTATTATTAATCCAAATAATAATAACCCTTAAGGCTTTCTTAACTTTGGTTGACCTTTACTTATTTGTCTTGGAAGACACTTTACAATCTATTTTTAAAAGACTTTTTTTGTGTTATACAATATATTACAGAAGAATTATACTCTTTTCCTTTATCCCGTCTATGTTAACTTTTTCCCTTTCAATCGTCTGTTCTGCTGACTGTCTTGTTCCAGTTCAGAAGGGTAGTCTTTAAAGGAGAAACAACCTTTCGTACGATTGCTTATATGTTATTCTCACAGAAATAAACGTCCTTTTGTTAATCAACTTTTCTGGGAAATGGTGAAAAAAATTGTAACTTTACCAGACAAAATAAATGACTTAAAAGTAGGTAGGGCAGATGGGAATGGGGATAGAAAGACACTGAAAGATACATGACTAAATGCTCAGAGAAAGGAATAGAAGGGGAGGGGAGGCGGGTAGGGAAGTGAGGTATAGAAAAGAGAATATAATATAAAGAATGGAATGAGAGAGAAAACAGACAACGTTATTAATTGCAAGTACGTGATATTATTTTCAACCAACAAACATACAGTATATACAATTCATTCATTCATTCACTCGTTCATCCTATACAATTAATACGAACGTTATCTATGCACATCTATATAATACACATAATATTTGTGCATATCCGATAGTTCAATTAATATAATCTATACGAAACTATGCATATACTGTATATCGTCCAAAAAAAAGGAACAAATGAAAAGATATTTGTAAATCGATGTATTCGTTGTATTTATTAAAATAAGGTCTTGTAGGAGTGACGAGAGGTTTGCATCTTGATAGACCTATAGAAAGGGATCTTTTCGGAGAACTTAACCATTTTTACATATTTGATGCTAGGCTAGACTAGAAGAATTACTTTAGGGCTAATTATTGCTATAAATAAGACTAATTTTTTTCACATTTTCCCTATAATTAATCAGTCTATTTTATTCTTTTGCAGTCATTTAATCATACCATCGCATTATGGAAAAGACATTAAACTCTGCAAAAGAATCTCATTTTTCTCTTTAATCAATTAAATAATCAAAATCTGTAAGTTTAATGATATCAACGAATTGAATGCCACTTTTCTTCCTAGGCCTAGATAGCAAAAATATATAATTAAGTAACAGCTGTACCGATTTGTTTCCTCTTGCATGACCTGTGTATACAGTAAATACATACATAATGTATTACTGTATATATATATATATATATATGTATAGATATACACCTCATAATTTCATTGAACAGCAATAGCTGATTAGTTTCAAGTTGGATGAGAAAGGAGAGGAGATATGGCCTTATCTTTCTTTTTGTAATTTAGGAGAAAAGCAAAGACATGGTTAGGATACTACTTAACAGAGAAAACAATTCTTTGTAAACAATTAAAAGTTTTTTAGACGTTTCATGAGGAGATGGAGAGAGGGTGGAAGAGGGGAAGGGGTGCGAGGGGGGGAGGGAAAGAAAAGATAAAAAAATTACCTAAAAACTTAAAGATTTAATAGATATCTGATAGACAATTAAAGAAATTTCAACATCCCATTCCCCTTGAAAGTACTCGTAACTCACTCAAATATTCTTTAAAAGACATTACCGAACAACTGAAATGGTAGAACCTATTAGCTTATTCTTCTTGTACGTGATTTAAAAAAATTAGAAAACAGTAATCAAAAGAGACGCTAAATAGCGCCTCTTCTCTTTTCATATCAGATATATCTGATCCTTCCAAAACTTATTAGATTATTTCTAGATCAGTGACTGGTAAAATCTTATTTCATTTAATCAGAAATCCTCGTTTTTTCGAAGACAACTTTCAAGGTGAACTAGAGGAGAGAAGAATTTTGTGTAAAGCGTTGAGTGCCGCACGACTGCAAGTAGTTTGCCAAGAAAAAAGGAGAGTTGAAAAAAAAATTCAGTCAATGATTACTAAATATAAATAGGTATGTACGTGTTTAGAGCAAAGAAGGGCAGACAAGATCATAGAGCTCGATAGGAGTTTAGTGAATAGATTTCAATTTCAATACATATGTACACGAACATACACGCACACGTATAAATACAGTATGATATATACAGTATACAGTAATAGTAGATTAGACATAATTATAAATCTAAGCTGTATATCGAATATTTCTGTATGTTTTAATAAACATAATAAATTAGCATAGGATGAAAATAAAGCAGATGTTTATGCTTGTATCATTAACGAAATTCTTAGTATTTTATTATATTTCATCAAGATTAAGTAGAATATTGAATTATATTGTTTAAGGTCGTCTCCTTCTATATTGTATTATGTTCTTTTAATTCCGTTGTATTTTGCCTGCTTCTCTTTGTTTCGCTCTTCCTTCCAACTCTGTAAGGCGGAAGGGTAGGAAGAGTTTAACGCAAAGATAACGGAAAAAAGGCGATAAAGAGTAGGAAAAACGAAGAAAGAATAGAGTGATGTTAGGATAGGAATCTAAAACAGTTGAAAATTTTGTTTATTGGCATAAGAATTCCGCTTCTAGTACTTTTTGTACATTTAACCCAGTTTAATGTTTCTCGTCTATTTTTTTCAAAGTGTTGAAAAGTTCTAGTAGTTTAAAAAACAAAAAGAAACAACCATTATATTCTCGGTTATAGTTTAATAGATTTTCCAGCTGCGACCATTTCCCTAAGAGTTTTTCCAATCAGATTTATTTCTCTTTAATTCTTCAAGACATTAGAATAGAATATTAATTCTTTTTCATCTTTCTCCCTGTCGGCCTCTATCTCTCTTTCCTGCTTTCCTTCCTATCCAATCTTTTTTCTTATTCAATTAATTTTTTTAACGATTTCTAGTCTTGTAGACTTGAAAGTTTCTTCACGGATATTGTTGGCTAATTCTTATATGTTTTATGGGCCAAGGTTATTTGGTGCATTTTTCTTTTATTTTTTATGAGGGAAAAACTAAAGAAAAAGTTCAAAAAAGATTAACGTCTATAGTTTATTCTTTATGGTTATGCGTTCATAGAAATGAACTATACGTATTTTATGAGAAATTCCGGTGCAACTATAATCAGTCTATTTTATTTTTGGTCGAGAAGGAAGAGAAGAATATCGAAAGCTGACTCGTTACTCGTATTGAAGGATATTTTGAACAATTTCGTTAGTCGGCAAGAGAAGTGGGGCAAAGTTCCGATTATCAGTAGGCCTTCATCCGCAGAAAAAAACTCTATTTAAAATATTACATTTCAATAGTGAAGACTATTGTATATCACGTACGCAGGATATGTGCATGTATCTATATTTAATGAATGCCTTTATTCATATTGGATTTCTTTACTAAGAACGAAAATAACTATTACATAAGCTAGAGCGGTGACAGTCACCGAAAAGTGTATTTTTAGTCTGCAGCTTAAACTGTATTCAATTAGATATTCACTGCATTTGTCATGACAAATACGTTTTAAATAAGAGTTGACAGAAAGATTTGATAGCACCATTACTTTTAAAAAGAAAGAATTTGAAAGAACATAGTCTTAGTAAATATGAAGAGAGTTTAAACAGTGTATAAAAGAGGATTTAGTGGTGAGCTGGAATATATTTAACTATTTTCTTTTAAATGTATATTTATAGATTAAATTAACAAATCATAATTTTTCCCTTTAACTAACATAAAAACGATTTGTTCTTATTTGTCTTCTTCCCTTCAGTTTGATATCAGGCAATCGTTCCAGCCCACTATTATAAAATGTATATAAATATACTGTATATATATATATATATATATATATATAGAAATATCGAACAGTAGTACTGTTGTCTTTTGTTTCCTTTTTTATTATTATTAACTATTACTGTATATAAATATTACGAAGAAATATATATATATATATATATATATATATTTTATCATATATTCATATACAGAATATGAATATGCTCTAAGAAAAAATTCATACTGTACAAATAAATACCAACATCAACAGATGGTACAGTGAAAATGATTTTTGTTTTCCATGGAATTATATATATATATATATATATATATGTATATATATATATAATAAATATTAACACACATATATATATATATATACATATACATTACTTTGTATGGGTATACAGTACGTACACGTATCTAGATATACACCGTATATTCATTTATACTTATTGAACAGGACTATAGAAGCAGTAAATAAACAAATCAGAATCAGGAGTTACTGTTCGTCTTAAGTCCATTCTTATTTTGTCTTTTTAAATGAACGTCTATCTTCTCCAGATTTTTACTATCTTTCCTCTTTTCGTTTTCCTCTTCTAAGGAATCAGACTCTTTTTGGTAATACTGCAAAGCTTCCCTAACGGGTTCGATAATATCGCGCTAGAACATTGTTGAATAAGGAGGAGAGGTAGGCAGAAAGGCAAACGTTGAAAGGGACATGTGGTAGAATAATACATATGAATACATATATATATATATATATATATAGATAGATAGATAGATAGATATACTATATACTGTATATACTAATATATTTTGATAAGAAAATTTCATTTAAAATCAATTTCCTGTTGAAATTAATATATAATTACCTGAATTTTTGGGAAAAGAGATGCCAACGTCTCAAATAAAGGTAAAAGGACAAATTTAATAAATCCCACTTGGGAGGTACATTTATTTACTTTTTCTCTATCCATAAATGGCGCAACGGGTAGACCTTCAAGTTTTTCCATGTCGCTCTGTATCGTTTAATAAAAGAAAATATTAAAATAATCAATTGGAGAGGAATGCTGTAAAAAGAAAGAGAAGAGGAGAATTTAAATTGGAGCTTTTGCAAGAGAATATTTTCGAATACAAAATATACAAAGACATCTTTACAACGTCTTCTTTAATACATTTAAATACATAAAAACAAATAATAATGTAAAAGGTATTAAAGAGCTGAACCTGCATAAAGAACTCTTCAAGAAGACACTCGGCCCAAAGTTCGGAAACTTGCATAGGACGGGCTTCGTTTGATATATCGGCCACTTTGATGAGTATTATAAGCAACTGCGATAAACATGCAGAAATCTAACTATTTTGACGTTTAAACAACGATTATAATAAAAAGAAATGCATTAAAAAACCCTCAGTCTTATATTCTTTAACTGCGTTTACTTGTGACTTTATTATTGTCGCTTCATCAACTTTGAAAGAGAATCAACTGGAAGAGACAACGAATATAGAATAAATTAGTATCTTATTTACTTGTATAAACGGCGGCCATATTGTTTTTGTTGTGTTATTATTTCTATTATTATATTTAATGAATCTCTTCGAGTTGATTATTTCAAATTATGAAATATAATGAGGATATCGTATTTTAAATTGAGAAAAAAGACACTATATTTAAGGATAATGAGACCGAAAACAACGGCGAGTAGCTAGAACCTGATGGAAAAATTCTTGAAGAAGACAATCAATCCAAGGTTCAGCGACTCCTAATGGTCTCGCTTCGTTTGATATATCAGAGACTTTCATTAAGATCATCATAAGCTGAAGTTAAGCTTTAAGTTTCCTGTTTAATTATTTTAATTAAAAAGTATATTTACCAAAGATTTCTGTTCCTTGCTAGAAAAATCAAATCCCTTCTCTATAGCAGCCTTAAAGCTGCTCAATATTTCAGAATGCTTTGCCATATCAGTTGCCAGAATACATCTGAAGGATTAAAAAGGAATTTTATGTTTTGTTTTATTTAAGACTCTTTCTTTCTTTATTTCTTTCTCCCTCTCTCTCTCTCTCTCTCGCTTATTTTAATTAAAATATTGAAGAAGAGAGATATTTACTTAATCATTCCTTCCCGAATCTTCTTAAAAACATCCTTATCTAAATTCCTGAATATATTGAAATTAGGATTTGCTAAAATTTCAAAGGCCACGGCACAATGATGATTTTCCAACGGTGAGATATCATTGTAGCGTAGAGCCAACTCTGTTCGGGCATTTATCTGCCAGAGAGGAATTAAAATCAAGTTAACTATTCCTTTAGGTCTCTAAAAGGCAAGGTTATACCTGATATGCGTTATTATATCCTGGATGATTAAGGTCATGGCAAATGGCGGATGTTATAAGTATTAGAATGTCTATATCTTCTACATAATTCCTGAGTCCTATAAGCCAAGTTAAGCCGTACATCTGAAAAATAAGAAATTGTAATTGAAGATTAGTATAAACTAGTTGAGAATTGTCGCAAAAGCGATTAATTTACCATTTGAGCAACCATAAAACAATGTTTGAAGTTATGAAAAGGAACGAGATTATAATTTTTATAGATTTCGTATAACCAGTGTTGCAGGGTAGACATCTACAGAACGATAACATGCCGAATTATTCAAGGAATTTAAGTTATTCTTTTTACATACCTCTATATTGAAAGTATGCAAAAAGCCGAGATCAATATACATTTGTCTTAAAAGGAACATGATTTCCGCATCTTCCCATTGCCAATTATCGAATGTAGGTTTTTTCAAATACTCCCTTACTTGTTCTGTTGCTTGAACTTTACTATAAAATATTTGACATTTAAATAAAATAATTAACTCCCCACTGTTAACAAGACCCTACCAAAGTTCTAGAAATTTCTTATACACAGCTTCATTCTGATCGTCAGTTCGCTTTATGGACTGATTCTTTTTCCAAAAGTGCCTTAATTTCGTAGAAGACATATCCTTAAATAAACCGAGCCAACTAAGATGTTCGACGCCTTCTAGTTTTTGCTTAAATTCCTCTACCTTTTGCTGCATATCGTAAACGATATCAGGCGTAGAACCGCCCTGCAATAAAGATCTTTCTATCTCTTCAATCCTGTTTTGAAGTAGTACAAGATCGGTGCCTAATTCTTCAGCAATAGCAGTCCCTGTTTGAAAAAACAGGCCAAAAAAAAAATAGTTAAATAAATAAGGTATTTATTCTATAATAACAAAGTAACTATTGACAGTTTTATTCGCATAAATAAACAAAGAGAGTGAGAGGTAGAGTGACGAAAAGAGAGAGAGAGAGAGAGAGAGAGAGAGAGAGAGAGAGAGAGAGAGAGGGAGAGAGAGAGAGACAGAAAGAGAGACAAAAAGAAAGAAAGAAAGATAGGTAGGCTTTCATTGTAATACTTTCTCTTAAATAATTAAACAAGTTAAGAGAATAAGAATAGATTGTTCGTTTTTGATTTTTATGTGAGTCTATTAATAAATTAGGCATAACTATGGATAGAAATATACACTATATATTTATATCTATATAAACTAACTCTTATAATTCTTCAATGTTGTACAAGTTAAAGAAAAAAAAAGTAAGGCAGTAATTTAGTATGCCGCTGCTTTCTTCAATAAAGATATCGATTGTTATTAAGATATTTGTTAAAGGAGTGTGCGATTATTTCCAATTATGGGATAATTTATAAGAAAAGATACTACTCAATACAATTTAGATATTTATACATTTTACGATATATACCTGCCTCTTTCCATCTTCCTTCCCCCCTCCCCCCTTCCATTTTCTTTGGACAAGTACTTTATAGTAATTTATGAACTATGATTATTAATATACATGTCATATACAGTATATATATATATATATAGTCAGTCATTCGCTTATTGATTATTTAATTAGCTAACATGCGTTATATTTCACTTTTTATTAATTATCTAGTAGTTTCTTATTATTATTATCATTATTTTTAGAATGATTATGAGGAAGGAAGGAAGGAGGGTTGACGAGAATAAAATGAAATTTTTTCCAAGAGAGAGTGGCTAGTCTACGATTAACAATAACAATAGTAACAAAACATAAACATAGACTATAAACACTGCTTCGATACTATCTGGGAAAAGAAATAAAACTACGTAGTTGTATTGGAGTCAATTAATTTTACTGCTAATAAATTTGCGTTCAAAGGACTTTGAGAAGAGGGGCGGAAAGGGAGAGGAAGGAAAGGAGGCGAGTGAAAACTACCAATACTGTATGGTTGGTTAAATGCGTCGAGTTTATTGAATAGGACTTGTAAAGGAACATGATAAGGTCTAGTCCATGGCGCAGAAAAAGCCTTATCTACATTAGATGTACGTGACTTTATAAAGTAATAGAGAAAAAGCGCCTTAAACCTAAAGTAACGTTAGATTAAGGTAATTTAAAGATGAACGAAGTGTCTTACTTAATATCAACCTATCACTCTTATATTTCGTCGAATGCAAAAATTAACAGTTTTTTCTACGGCTTTTACAACCCAAGTAGGGAGTGTAAGCTACACCTGGTGTTGCTAGGTAACCTAATATTGGATCTGGAGGATGTGACAAATTATGCAGTAACGCCCTGTTTTTGCAGTCGAATTGTTCTTGTAAGACATTCTCTAGACATTCTCAAAAAGATATATAATATTCCCTGCAAATAAGCTGGTATAGAAATTCTATTGACATAATATAGATAGTATATGCAAGTTTGAGAATAGTGTATAGAAAAATACTTTATAACAGATTTTTCTGTTTGATTACTCTTAGGTCAGAGTATATAAATCTTTTTTTATCACTTCAATAATTTTCATGAATAGGCTTACACTATTTAGTACATGATAACGAATATTTTATAATATGCAGTACATACAGTATACTGTACAAATGTACTGTGAATACATATTAGTATATAACTATTCCATTTTTATTTCCTCTACCATTCAAATTTCTCAATATATTCTTCCTATTCACATAAAAAAGTCGTTAATTAGACTGTGTACGCTATATATATATATGTATCATTTTACTCAATTACAGTACTTAAATCTCTTTTTTGCTGCTTATTCAATCATATATTCCTCTATTCTCCTTTTTTGATAATCATTTCAAGTTCAATGAACTTGTCAAAAAAAGAACAAAATTCTCTCTCTCTCTCTCTATCTATATATATATATATATATATATATATATATATATATATATATGTCAGCATAGGTATAAACACGGCAATTTATACAAATATAATACAAGCTTTACCTAATGTTTAATATAAATTGACTAACACTTTTCTTTCGATTAAATAACTTTTTTTTTCTATATTCTATGTTATTATATAAATATATATGTATATATAATATATATACATAGACATATATATAAGTTTTTTCCTGACAAAGATACTACTTTGTCGAACAACAATTAGGAATTTTCTATTGAAAGAAGCTTCATCAATTTGTTAAGTTTCCTTTGAAGGTTAATAATCTTGCTTCAAGCAGGTTTCGCGTTTGTAAAAAAAAAAAAAAGAGGAAAATGAAATAGAAAGAAACTTTTCGTGACAAAAAAATTCAACTTAAAAACCTCATTTTTCTTTCCTTTCCCCAAGTATTAAAATGAAACTAGTTATCAAGATTTTTTTCTTCTTCCAAGAGTTAATGACTAAGTGTAAGTGCGCGAGTGTGAGAGAAAAAGGGAGGGAAGAGAGGGGGGAGAAAGAGACTAAATGGGGATAGAAAAGTAAAAAATTCACCTTCATACAAAAGAATATTATCTATTTTATTCTACAGTTATTAATAAAAGAAATGCACATTAACGTAATATAATAAATGGAACAAGCGGAACAAAGAAAAACTAGCGCAAAAAGGATGGAGGATTTTCTTCTCTTTAGCATAACGCTACAAAAGTATTATTCCGTCCTTTTTACATTTTGCTCTTGTTATTGCTCTTGTAATACTTATACGATGATAATTAGACAATACCATTATTATCATCTTTCATTAACCGGTAATTTATTAGTTGGAGGATTAGCTATGCATAAGGAATTTGACGCTATACAAAAGAATATAGTAAAGAAAGTAGGCGGAAAAAGGTAGAGAAGAGAGATTGCCATTTCTTTTTTTTAAAAGAATATTCCAAGTATAAAAAAAGCGTGACAAAAGTTTTATCATTTCCTCTTCCTTTTTACTTTTATTGTTATTACTTTTCTATAGAAAATCATCAAAATACAAAAAAAGCCTTTAGTTATGAACGGCCTTACCCATAATACCTTTTAGTAAAATGGGAAAAAGTATAAGCCTACGCTGTTAATAAATTTACTTCGTTTATGAAAAGGTAAATATTCAGAGGGTTATTAAGTCTATATGAACATTAGTAGGATACAATATATATATGCGTATCGAAAAGGAGCGAAAGAAAGTAGGAGAGGGAGAGAGAGAGAGAGAGAGAGCGAGCGAGAGGATAAAGATAGAGAACCCGTATGATTTTTACGCTTTCTATTCCTCTCCGGTTTTCTTTGCCTTACATGTTTTGAAAATTAATAATAATGCCTTAGGGATAGACAACGTACCCTTAAAAACAAATAGGCGGAAAACTGTTTGATATAAATTTAAGCTTATATCACTTTTAAGGAAGACAGAGCAACTTGTAGTATTCGATAGTAAGAATTTGTAGGAATTTATTTATCCCGAGTGGAGAGAGAGATAGGGAGAGGGAGAGAGATAGACAGAGTGAGAAATTGATATTGAGTATGAAAGACGAGCGAAGTAAACAGGGTAGAAGAAAAGAGCATATTAAATGGAGAGAAGGTGTAAAGGTCTCTCCTTCTTGGAGGTTATGTAGTATAAATTAGACTAACCTGAAAAATAAGCAGCAACAACCTCTAAACGATACCGTGTAGACGGCGTATTTTCTTCGATTTTTGCTGATATATTAATTATACTTCCTCGGGTGTTGTATAACTTTAGTATATCGTGTTGACCGGCTTCCGCTGCAGAGCGGAATAATTCTGCAAAAGAAAATTCTTTAGCTTTCCTCTATATATTTTCTTTTCACTTGCTTATACGCCTACACTAAATGTGTATTGGGTGGGTGGGTGTTTCGCATTGAGAAAAAACTGACTTTTTGCTTAACAAACAACATTCCCCACTAAAAAACAAACCTATTACCAACAGTTTGCACTTTGCAGGTACAATTCCTTACATTCCAGAAGCGCTAGAAGTTATTAGGCCTAGAGACTAGGAGCCGAAACGCAAAAAAATAAACAACACGAGGTAGAGTAAAACTGATAGAGAGACACAGCAAGAGAGAGAGAGAGGAAGAGAGAGAGAGAGAGAGAGAGAGAGAGAGAAAGAAGAGATTGACCAAAAATCTCTCTTATTTTTTCTAGGTCGGTAAATATGAATAGTAGAAAAAAAGGTGGCGCAGAAGAATAGTGTAAATATTGACAAACTACACGCTCTGATTTATTAGGAAGAACTGCAAATTTGAAGTCTGGGCCTTCTGTTTTCTAGCGTATTGTATTCTCTTCCAAGGCCATTTTATTGTTTGTTCCTTTGCATAAAGTTTATTTCTTAATCTTAAAGTCTTGTGCCAATTTTTAAATAATATATTATTAAGAGTATGCCTTTTAAAGTATTATTAAATATACTGTATATATATATATATATATATAGTCTTTTGCATGTAATACGTCAGATTTATATCTCTAGTTTATCTCTTATTTTACAGGTTTCTATAAATTATGTATAAGCATACATAGATACATAGATACATAGATACACGCATACACACACAGGGTACTAATGCCCAGAGTAACAAGTAAATATATATAGAACTAAAGCGTTTTTTAAACGTCCAATTGTGAACGCTTATCGGTTTTCTCTCTCTCTCTCTCTCTCTCTCTGTCTCTGTCTCGTGTATATATTATATCGACATCTTTTCTTACCTCGTACTTCTTCGTTTGTGTCGTCGTTACGAAATTCCGCCTGTTCTTCTCTTTCGTTAATCGTAAAATATATCAATTTTGTCGCCATTTTCTTATTACATTGTACTTAATTTTTAACGTAAATATTATTCCAGACAAATTTTTCTCTGGCGTCGAGCGTTAATCGAACGCCGTCCGCATTCTGTTAATAACCTACCTTGGGTGTTCGAGTGGTTACCAATTCCCTTCCGGAAAATGATTCGTAATGAATTAACGTTGAGCACGTAACCGTGTTACATTACGTTCCAATACTATACACACCTTTCTATAGTTGTAAATCATTTATATCAAATTGTGTTGATTAAGCGCGCGTTTTGTGAGCAATAACGATT